ATGATTTTTGACAATTGTCAAAAACAATGCCAAAAGTGGTTTTTTTTTTTTTGACATGAAGGTTAAAACAAGATAAAACCGTCAATTGTCAAAAACCTTCCCACCCTGCCTAATTATGATATTTTTTTAAAGTGCTTAAAAATATTGATGAGTGCTTAAAAGGTGCTTATTTTTTGTTGAATAATTTGGCTACGCACCCTGTTATAATGTCAGCTAGGACCTGCTTTTGATATTCTCCAAACTTCTCTCTCACAGAGTAGCTGTCACCAAACAGTGTTTCGTGGTATTTTAGTGGTCCGTGAAAGAACTGTTAACAAACAAGGTGTTTTGCTTTGGATTCAGTTAAATTTCTTGCCTTCCCACTAACGTGAAGTCACACATATTGAATATTATTAATTTTATTATACTTATTAAGTAAACTTTAACTATACGTTATCAACGTTTACATATTTTTCGCCTCCTCGATAGTCATGTTAAATAAAAATTTTATTAACAATATACATTGAGTTTAACTGAAAATCTTTAATGACTTTTAAATTAGTACAAATTTTAAAAATCTCTGTTACACGTCAATTCTGTTCTAAGATGGTAGTTTTGGATACTGGGTGGTGGATATTAGTTTCTGCTTGGTGGTCCGTGAGCTTCAAAAAATTGAGTGTCGCTGCTGTTAAGTCCATGCTTTAAAATCCTCATTACTATTATTATAATCAATATTTTCTGTTAAGTTTTGTTGCTGTATTATCGATTATTTTCGTTGGAGAAAGGAAAAATTAGGATAGTTAAACCTGACTATAACTGCTGTTATTGATTATTTTGTTATTATGACTATTATTAGTCGTTTTTATAATTACATTATTGTAATTTCTTTTATTATATTTTGTTAATATTATAATTAGATTTAAAATTTTAAAAAGCATTGTTAGAAGTTTACTAAAAATGTTAATGTGGTATACCATACTTGAAATATACAATTTAAAATTTTAAAGATTTCTTTAATAAAAGTTTACATAAAATATTTTATTAGTATATAAATTTACTGTCACTTGGAGATTGAAATGTATCTTATTAATAGCGAATTTTATTTCACGTATTATTTTAAAATTATTAAAGAAACAGGTTATAGAGATTTCTTTTTTGAAGATGAAGTAAAATTTTCGATTTTAAACATAAAAATAGTGCTTGAAAATTTATCTAACTTGAAACTGCTTGTTATTTATTCTTTGTGCGTAGCCAAACTTAAAACCACTGAGGATATTTCTTTATTTTTAGTGCGACCCAAAAAGAAAGAGATCGTATGCGTCTCATGAGATATGGTTATCCACCGCTTTGGAAAATGATTTATTGGATGTGGAGTGCTCCGATTACTAAGTTTTGGGTCTCTCATGTAATTAATATGCATTTATCTGTATTGGTTTGTTATGTACAAAACTTTTAGTTATTCTGAGGTGACTTTAAACTTAAACTAATCATTGAAAATATTGTATAAGTGTCCGCTTCAAGCAAAAGAAAGGCATTCTTCTTCATTGTTAACTAACAGAGAATTACTTAAAAGCAATTTCGTTATTTATTCAATGACTAATTAATGTTTTTAAATATTTTTTGTTTTATGTTCTGAAATATGTACTATTGAATCTAGATGACAAATTTCGAATTTTAAGATTGTAAATACTTTTAAAATTTTTTGAACTTTTCAAAATTTAAGTCTTAAAACTACTTTTAACCTTTGGTCTTTGACTCAAATGAGACACTGGTGCCCTTTTATATATTTGTTCTGACGCTCTTATTACAAGCAAAAGCGTATTTTAGAATTTTTTTTAACTATAAAAAACAGTCTATTACTTATCAAAAAAAATCTGTTTGATTATCGGAATTATAGTTGTACTGAAATAAAAAATCCGAAAAACGTAGTTTAATTTTTTTTAAAAATTTATATTCAAAAATTTAAATATAATTGATTTCATAAAATTCATTTACAAAATCAATTTCAATGATGAATAACTGTTTCTCTTAGATCTAAATTTCTGCAAATATAAGTGCGAATTTGAAAGGTTTTTTGTTTGGAAGTGAGCCGTGTTTGGAATAATGCAGAAAAATACACCAATGTTTTATGTAGCATTTTATAACAATAAATTATTAAAATACTAAATTTAATATTTTTCACTTATTTTGACCTTAATTGATACAAAACAATGAAAAAAGTTTGAAAAATATGTTAAATAAAAATTTTTCGACAAAGGAATAAAATATAAAAATTCATAACTAGGTTAACTATATTTCACGTTTACTGGAATTTAACTAGGTTCAATGAATGAAACGAAAAATATTAAAAAATATTTGTTAGTTACTTAATAAATTAGAAAATTGTTTTCATACAATTCACTGCTAGGTTTGTTAACATGGAGAAAATAGAATTCCATATGACTCTGAAGGAGACCCTTAACAATGTTAAAAAATGGTAAAACTTGCAATAGCGTTTAGACAGAAACTTTATTTAATGCTTCTTTCATATACATAAATGCTTAAGAATTAAAATGCTAAATTAAAGGGCATTCTATAATGACCACCCTTAGAATAAATTTTTATAATGCTTGCAAAAATGAAGTAAAAAAAGCATATTATGATTCACAAATCAGTATTTAGGTGTGAGAAAATAAATGTGACTATGACCAAACACTATTGCTTTGAATAAGAGCAGGAGAGGTTTTAAAATCACCAAAACCCAATTAATTTAAGGAGAAAACTTTTAAGCGGCTTCTGGCGAATGCATTCTTGTCCCACTATACGGATAAGCAACGCTTTTTGATGATTTTATTTCACCCTTTGCTCTCTCTGATCTCAATTATACTTTTTTTTAAAGTTTTAAAAGTTTTTTTTTGTCTCTTATTCTTTCATTTTCTGATCCTTAACATGCATAGTTTACTTTAACTTCACTAAAAATGCTCCTTAAGGGTGGTTGTTACGGGATATACTGCATTGTAACAATAAATGACACTAATTAAATTTGGACGCATATTTTTTTGACAGCTGAAAAATTTAGTAATGTAAAAATTGAGTTATTCATACAAAAGAATTATTATTTTTTCGGGTTTGTAACTTTTCTTAATGTTCATATTACAGTTTCATATCCATAATGTTCCTCTTATTGTTTCATAATTATTTTTAGATTTTCTACATTCTGTACCTGATAGTTTTTAGTTTGGCTGTCATTTGGCCATCTTGTGGAAACACGACACTAGATTTAGCAGTTTGTATTTGGACAAGTTTAATAGCCTTTGATTCTATGCATCGACTTTATGCTTTGCAAAAGGTTAGTTTAAAGCAAATTGGTTTAATTGCAGTCACGTTTTTATTATGCTGTGATATTTTAATACAGATACGTTTTTAGTTTACGCAGATTCGGTTTAATGCCGATATAATTTTAGTTTAAGAAAATGCATTTTAATGTAGGTGCATTTTAATGCAGATTCGTTAAAGCCTTGTGCCATCTCATATTTTTAAGTTGTTTAAAATTGTTAAAAGAAACTAAATTTTAACTAAATTATTTAATAAGAAAAATAAAAAGATCGCAGTTTTATTTAAAGTTATTCATAACTGAAAGAAAAATAAATAATATTTTTCTTGTGTTATCAAAATGAAAATATCTTTTAACTATTGTTCTTGTTTCATTTGTAAGAAATTGTTAAGCTTTATTTCGATTCTTATTTCTATACACAATAATACACGTGATAGATAAGGAACCGTTTGGTGATTTATAAGTTAGTTTTTAAAATATTCCTCACTATGACCACTCCCGGACCATGCGCATTCATTTTATTTTATTTTTTGACCAGTGTTGAACAGCCAACCCCATTCTGAATTTACGACTATGAATGCCCAACTCCGTAGCCATATAATTTTGAATTGAACCCAGAAGACAAGAGAGCACTTGGATCAATCATGGGGACAAACTAGCCTTCATTTAGGACTTTTAAATTAAACTGTCCCCCGCATTTGCGTTATGTAAAGGAAAACCACCATCGGCTATCCCAACGGTGAGTGAATTTTAACCCATGATACGTCTATAGTTCGTTCACCAGGAGTTGGCACTTGGCTCCACCTTCTCGAACGAAGAGTTCATTTCAACGCGGGAGTAAGAGGAGAAACGTCTCCGCGCTTGAAATTCAGACAACCCTTAAAGCGCGCCAAACGCAAACAGTGAATTTTTTTTTGGTCACTTACTACGCTTTATAAATCTGCTATTATACCTTTCGCTAATCTAGTTAATTAAAAATATTTTAAATTTAAAAACTGCTGTTTTCCCAGCAAAATGTCTTAAAAAGGATTAACTATTAACTCAAAAGCGAAAAATATAATCGAATATATGAAATATTTAATGTTAAAAAAATGCACATAAGGAATGCGAAATAAATATTTGTGTCATACGATCGCCAAATAGCAACCTTGTTCAGGATTGTTCACATCCTTCTCCCAAAAATAGCGAAATAGTATCGTTGGATACCACGTGATGAAGGCGGAGTCAAGTGCCAACTCCTGGTGAACGAACTATACTACTGAGAAAATTTTATGTCAGCGGTGTGATCTGGGCTCAGAATTTGTATTGAATAACCGACAATGTTCCTCTTATTTAACTATGTTTCTCCACTGGGATTCGAACCTGGGTCATCTCTTTGGGACGTGAGAGCAGTATTCCCTGAGTCACCGCAGCTAGTGCTCATTCATTGGAAAAATATCTTTGTTTCGAATTTCTAAATCTATTTAAATGACTGCAATTGAAACTAAACGATGAAAATGTCCTTTTTGCTCGTTTAGTTTTAATTATAGTCTAAAATAGCCATCACTTAATAATGAAAAAGATTTAACGCATTTTCGATATTTTTTTTAATAATTTGGTAAAGGGTTAAGGAAAAAATCGCCAAAGATAAAGCAGTTTTCAAAATTGGTTTTATTGTAAGAATATTAATTTTGGGAGGACTATTTTTTGCATTCATTTTGCAATTTTTGGAATAAAATTACGCATAGAAATAATTGGGAACAAAATTACTTTTTATATATCCATAGGTATTCGAATTACGTACATATCTTTCCTAGTATTAAAAGTAGATAATACTTAATTGGATTAAAAGTATTTTTAGTAGTTAGTCTAATTGTTTTGACAGCAAATTATTATTTTTCAGGCTTTTCCGAATACTAAACTATTTTACGGCTGTCTTGAGATATTGTATATGATATTGTTTGTAATATTTTATGCCACACTTCGGATAACACCTTGGAAAGATCCTTACGTTGGAAAAGTTCTTATATGTATAGGATTGATATGGTTTTTCTATCGAATGATTTTCATCTATCTTCCTATATCTTCAACATTGGGACCTTTGCTTTATAGAGTCAAATATATGGTAAGAATTCTCCTCCCTCAGTTATGTACGAATGAAACACACTTACTTTACAACACTTCACACTTACAAACGCGTACAAAGTATATTTTTTATAATATAGATGAAGTGTCCCTGGTTTACATAGGTAATGACTAAACCATTCAATGATTTTCCGCTCTTTTTAAATTCATTGACTTGCGTATCAACCACATTTTTTTAATAACTATAAACTTTCAAGTTTAATTGTGCATATTAGTAACAACGTTTGTACACTTTTTGTGCTATTTGTCAATTCATTTTCTTTTTATGTTCAAAAAATATTTATTATGGCGTTTATTATTAACATTATAAAAATAACTTGTTAAAAGCAAAGGCTCATTCAGATTTTCCCTCAATTTATATTCATTTTTTTAAAAAGAAAAAGTGGGAAAATTATGAGTGGTTTTTGAAAAACGATCTCTAAAATACTGTGTACCTTTTTTACATTATAAATGTTCAGCTTTGTCAACTGCTCCCTTTTCTGCGAAGTATTTTATAAAGTGACGATTTTAAAGATAGAAGATAATAGAAATGCAAATTGCATAATTTTGCTCTATTTTGCTAACTATTTTGTTGCCTATTTTGTTTGTTCTATTTTGGCAAGTTAACTATATTAAAGTGGCATACATATTTTATAATTACGTTGAAATTACACTCTGGAACAGTTTTTATTCTGTTGCTTTTGCTTGAAATTTTTTAACGAATCTTAGATACTTTCGTAACGTTGATTTCAAATTTGCAATCTGTTTCTCTTTCCATGCAACAGTCTGTTTTTTAAATGACATTTTTAGTCTATTTTTTTATCAAAATGTACAAGTTAAAAACATTATAATTAATTGGGCGTTGCATAAATGTCGCCTTCTCATACTTTTAGTTGAGTTGGGGCATATTTTCAGGATTAAAACTGCATTGGAACCCTTGCCTGAAAATATCAACATACACCGCTAAGCGTGCTTCTCTATTATAAACTGTTATTCGTGAGCTTATGAACAAGTTATATTGGGAAGCACCCCCAGCCACGTATGTCGAGATTTCCGGGCATAAATTCGTATGCAATTTTTAACTTGTTCGACTAAAAACATTTCGACTAAATATAAACTAGAAATATTATTTTTAAAAATAAAAAGTCTGTAGCTTTAGCAGCAAAAATGTTTTCATATTCAAAATTCCCATATTTGAATTAGGCAAGATCAAATCTATAAAGGCATAAAAAGATTTGTTCCCCAGTGTTATTCGAATATCGCGGAGGACTAAATACCTTTTAGTCGACTTTTTTAAACAAAGAATCGTAAATTTTTAGAGTTACCATAGGAAAAAAGGTCAGAAAACTAAAAAGGTTGATATTTATAATAATTCTCGAAAAATAATAAAAACATTAAAACTTCTAAAAAATATATAAAGATAAAAATCTCATTCTTCACATATCTGAGACTTTTTTTGCGTATAAATATTTCACCATTTCTATATCGGATGGTATAAAAATGATGAATCTTATCTTTTGTAAAATAACAAACAATAATCAAATTTCTTTTTAATGCAGATCACAATTGACTTTATCAACTTTATGAAACTATCAGCTTTAATAATAATAGCAAATGCCATTGCAATGCAAGCTATATTATACCCTGATTATCCTTTGGATTTTGAAATGTTCAGAAAATCTTTTCATAAAGCATTTATTAGTTTTTTTGTGACACCAGTCGAGGAACTTAGAGGTAAGACATATTTCTCATTTATTAACTTACTGAAAGCTTAACTTACTTATTGCTCGAAAAACTCCCGCTGTGAATCTTATAAGGAAATGAGAAGAAACTTGGTTGTAAAAACTATTGGCTTCCTAGCTTGTTTTCAAAGAAGGGGATAAAACATCCATGAATTCCATAACTAAATCATGAGTACCATCTATGAATCGATATAAAATATAAACGGGACTATTTCATATCTGAGAAAAAGTAAACAGTGGTGAATAGATTATATTACAAGCTTTGTAATTTTAGCTTTCACTTGAGTTCTAAAAATATCAGGTATATAAACTATTTTAATCTGTTATAACTATAAGAAGTCATGGTAGTTATAAATATTTTACTACAAACGGAAAGAAGATGTTTTAACGTTTTATTGATATTTATCATTTACATAGGATTGTAAGCTATAACACTTATTTATTCAAATATAAAATATACAGAGATTGCAACTTGCTCCGGACAGCAAATATATATTTTAAAGTGGTAGTTTATCAATTGTGATTCTTGGTTTATTAAATTCAATTTTGTAGATTTTTATCCACCACTATTTCTAAAGATGACGCCCGGTGGCTGAGCGGTAGCGCTTCGCGCGGTCGTGCCACAGGTCCCTGGTTCAATCCTGGGGCCGGGCAAGGTTGGCTCAGCCTTTCATCCCTTCAGTGGGTAGATAAATGAGTACCAAGCATGCTTGGGAACTAAACACTGGGGGTTCCGCGTTCGGCTGACCACCTGACCGGAACATCTGCTCCTGCACACCAGAGCCCAAGGTCAAGAAAACTGAGATGGGCACAGTAGGCCTTGGCCCTCTATGGGCTGTCGCGCCACTGAGTTTAGTTTATTTCTAAACATATGGTTTATAAAATTATCCATTTTATAGTACTTATGTCATGCTATACCTTCTAAAAAGCAAGCAAAAATAGTCAAATATTTCCAAAATTTACTTTGTAGTTATTTACCGTTTTTCTTTTAATTATTTTGGCTTGTTCGGAGCATTTGGCATCTCTGAATATAGCCTTTTTCTATGGAACAAAAGCTCAGTATATCAAAATTGTCCACCAAACGAAAAGACAATGTTCTAAAGTGTGTTTTTTTTACATTAAAAAAAATTATTTTTTTAGCCGGTTTTTTTCAAAAAATCTGTGATCTAAGGGGTTAATTATTGTCAGTTCTTCAGGGAGAGCGGGAAATTAATTATTTCTGTCAGTTCAGGGCAATGCTGGCAAGTAAAAATAGTATATCATGTGATCCAGTTTTTAAGAAATATTTAATGCGTTATTATTAAAAGATGAAGATATAAACACCGGAGAAAGTATCTGCGGACATTAATTAAAATTTTTTAAAAAGAATATTGGATTAGTTTTGATTTATCTAACTATTTATTTATCTGAAATTTGGTATTTTAATATTTTTTTAAAACATTTTTGCAATTTCTTTTATTTGTCTCCATTGCTTAATCCTTTGCACTTGAGAGGTACTTGGTCACGACTGCTACCACTTTAAACGCTGAATTTTTACAGCTGAATCACTTTAATTAGTGGCCACCAGTTAATTATATGGTAAGTGAGCAAATATTGAGTTTTTTTAACGTTGAAAGAAACCCGATCTGGAAGAATTGAAGGAACCATTTTCAAGATTGTCAAAATTTTATTTTAAGTTTATGACACTCCGGTCAAACTCCAGTATCTTCCAAATTTTTCAAGAACTAGATTATAGTCATTAATTTAAAAAAAATTTCATTTGTTTATTAATTAATGACATAAAAGCAAAAAGCAAAAGGAAATAGTTTTGTTTATTAATTTTTCCAATTTTACGTTTCCTTTCGTAGACAAAGAAACTCCAAAGGTGCGTTTATAGTTTCCTTGGTAAAGAAATTTTTCATAAATAAATGTTATATGTTAAAAAGACAAATTCAGGATTAGAATAGCCTCTCTCTTTTTCCAATGGAAGTTTTATCTTCATAATTTTATGATCAACGTCGTGATGTTGGCCCTGCGCACCTACTGCCTTTACTTATCGTATATGCTGGTCCCCTTCGAGGAAATGCCGGACGGGCTTCAAATCGCTGAAAGGAATCAGAACCTAGTTCTTCCCAACGACAACTCAGTGTTTGAATTACAGTGACATTGCGGTTTTGAAATCAACGTATGGTCTGTCTTCTTTCTTGAGCATTAAATTATTATGTGTCCTACAGAATTTTGAACTTATAACTTAAAATTCGTTGCTATAAGAAAAACAAATTGCGTTCTTTTCGTTGTTCATTAAGTCGCAAATTAAAATGTAGACTAGACTGTGCCATAGACGATGTTTTGCAGTTGATATTCATGAAGGATTAAAGCCCTGATCATATGATTTTCTTTTCCTTTAATAGGGACAGAACAACACTGCAGTCTGTTGGAGCCAAGTTCTGAATCAGTTGAAACGTGTCTAGCAAGTAATTGTGAGTATCATCAAGCGCTCTACAATTACAATTGTTTTGTAACTTTTCAAATAATGTGATTTAGAACTAATTAGAAAGAAAAAAAACTATCCCCGTTATTCTACCACGTTTTGTAAACTGAATGTCCGTTGCCAAATTATTATATAAAATTCTTATATCAACATTATTTTTCAAAAGTTTTTCTGTATTCTACTTCGTCATTAGGTTAACACCCCATAAAATTTATAGTTGGTCCACTAAGAATCTTTAGGAAAATCAGCTTGTCGTGGGGTGTGGTTGAAGGAAGAGCCATGAGGTGAAGATCATCCGCCAACTGCTTGTGCTAGATGTGGTATATCACCATTCAAATGAAAAACACAGATTTTTGTAGACGAAGAAGTTCATTCAGCATCTTTACTTTATTTCGGTTTTTAAGAACATGTTCATTTCAGTATACGGCTCATCAATTCACAAAAGCCTAAATCCACCACGTGGATGCTGGATCCTCCCTGTGTGCTCCAGGGAGTAGATAGTAATTTAAATTTAAGTCATTGAAATAATAATTGTTTTCTTGCTGAATTACATGATGCATCAAATAAATAATTAGAAGATAAGGAAAAACTTATTATGGTAAAAATCAACGATTAAACTCTAGAGCACACAGGGGGATAAAAAACAAAAATTATCCTGCTGCTTAAGAAAGCAACCAACTGCTCGAGATCCACGGGGAATACTGGTCTATCTCCAAAAGATAGCGTCCCCTCCTTAGCGGTTGCAAGAATCTCTAAAGACGAGCTATGAGTCGAGCCCTAGAGATCCTGCAAAGGCAATGAAGAGGGCGCTCCTGTTGGAGACAGCCCAGTATGAAAAGTAAATATTGTGGTGATCCCATGATCACACCACACAGCTGAAGAGTTGAGATAGCCATCCACTCCAACAATAGAGAACCTTCTTACTGTTTCTTAACCTATACAGTACTACGCAATATTTTGTAGTGATATCAATCAAAAGTAATTTATTATCTCTTTATAGGATCATTTTTTTCTAATGTTATTTTAAAATATTCTTGCGGTTGAGATCGATTTATAAGAATAAATTAATTAAGTTTATTTGATTTATAATTAATTTTTAATTAATTAATATAAAGAAATTTATTTGATTTTTATTACCATCTTTTTTGGTGGGAAACTGAATTGGATTTTTAAAATTTGTATAAATAAAAAGCAATGTTTTGTACTTATATGTACACGTTTGTCAGTGCTTATAGACAGACAATGGGTTTGATCTTACTTATTTATTTAGTCTGAATCGTAGAAGATCGAAATCAAATTAATAGAACTAATAGTTTTAAAGTTATAAAAGTTAATATGATTTAATTTATAAAAAGTACAGTTTCTGACTTTCACCCATTTATGCATCTATATTTTTATCTTAGCATCCCAAACTGAACACGGGATCCAATACTTTGAGTGCTTACATTACAATATCAAAAATGTAAATAGTTATGAGTTTAAATTCATGTTGCTAAAATATACAATTTAAATTACATATACTATTCGCTTTATCGGCCCAAATATTAATTCAGTGTAAAATAGTGCATCGGAAATATAACAGCTCAAAATAAGATATTAAATATTTCTGAAATTATTAATAATAAACAGGTTTTGATTTTACTTGACTTGGTTTTATTTCATTTCATGAATCCTTTAAAATCCATTGAATCTATGACTTTGTATTGCAATGTACTGTACTATTTATCCATAAAAACTTTGAAAACTTTTTATCTAGAAGTCGTGTATCGACATGGGTGCGGTTTTGCCCTACATATGTTTATTTTTTTAGGTATTTTTCATTAGTATGTAAACATAGAAATATATATTATTGTGATTCACTGTTGATACTAATAGAATTTGAAGGTCTAAGCCTAAATAAATTGCCGTTTTTTGAAGATTTTCAAATGACCTTCTACCTTCAATGCAAAGGTCCATTGAAAGTTGTTATATCGTATTAATTAGAGTAAACTTAGTAGAACTTAAAATAATGGTCAATACTACCATTTACTAGTTTCACAAATAGTATAGCCATTTTTAAACCGATATATTCTTCTCAAATTTTAGCGGATTTTTAGTTTTGACCCCTCAAAAATAAAAACAGATTTTTTCAAAAATAAAAACACACGTGTCTAATAATTTTACATGAAGAACATATTCTGAAAATTTCAAGGATCTGTATCCAAACCTGACTGATTTGGCAGATTTTTAAAGAAACTGGTTCTTAATTATCAGTATCTTTTTACTTACTTTTTTAGACTATAAAAAATTAGAAAATAAATTAAAATTTAAAAAAAAGTTTAATTCAAATTTCGTGTTTTGTTATATTATTGTATTAAAAATATCAAGATTGAAAAAAAAAACATTTAAAAATGAGTAGCAGCAACTACCGAAAAATAAAAATAAAAAATCTATTGAAAAATATCATGGATTGACAAAAAATCGGCGGAAATAAAGCAAGTCAAAGGTGATGATTAAAATGCCTGATTCCAAAATTGCAAATTGTTATAATACCGGATTTAAAATATCAGGAAAGCTCAACAATGACTATTAAAAGAGCGATTAAAAAAAATTATCAAATTTACTGTGAAATTGACACAAATAAAATGCACATTTAAATGCACGATTCGAGTGTCGTATTGATACTTATTATAAATATCGGGATTTTCAAAACTATGTAGTGCCGAAAAACGATTGCAAATAGCTTGAATTTATGATAAAATCGACACAAATAAAGATCGTCAAAGGTGATTGCTATTTGCAGGATTCGGAACTCGCCAGTCGTCATAATATCGTATTTAAAAAGATCGGAATTTTAAGAAGCGCGTGGAAATCCGACAATAACCTCCGAAAACACAATCGAAAAGTCGCTTTGATTAACTATGAAATTGGCACAAATAAAGAGCTTCAAAAGTAATTACTAAAACTTGAAATTCACACACTATAGTTTTGTTGTGTTAAAAATATGTTGTATTAAACTTTAGAATTTTTGAACCTCCGAATTTCGCAGTGATCGAAAAACTCGATCGATCAAGATTTGACGCGTCAAAAACTTAAATGCGAAATTCAAAATTTCCGATTTTGTTTTTATTTCTCCCCCCCCCCCAAAAAAAAATATAATAGTTTACAATAATTATTAGATTCATGTGCCACAACGTGCTGCAGGTTATGCACTACCCCTATAATATACTGTATTAATTTTGGGCGCTCCCTTCTCGCACCGCTGGGGTTGCGGGGCTGTTATCTACACCAGTGGTTCTTAACCTTTTTAAGCCGCGACCCAAATTTGAGAAATATGTTCATGTCGCGACCCAAAAAAAAAGTCAAATTTTTTTCATTGCTTTATTTTAGATCGTATTTTTAAAAAATCTTCAATCCTACGATGATGATTTCTTTTAACTTACAAATTTTTTATTTATTTTTTTAATAATAAAGATAAACAAAAGTACTTTTCGATCCAAGGAAAATTTAATTAATAATCAAGTGTTTTTAATAATTTTTATTGACCAAATTAAAATATATTTATAACTTTTTGAAAATAATTGACATTTTAACTTATTCCTAAAAAAAAAAAAGAAATATCAATACATATGTTAAGTCTTTTAAATTTTAAATGCAAGTCATACAGTTTTAATGAGAACCTTGTGCTTGAATAGATTTTGAAAGATCTTCAAACCTCGGTTGAATGCTTGTCAAGGAGCAACTTATATCTATTTCAGGATTTAACTTGTTCCGGTAATTGTTTTTGATTGCACACAGAGCCGAAAAACTAGCCTCACACATATATATTGTTGAAAAGGGCAATAATACTTTTAGGGCTTCTTTACCAATTATTGACTTTTCGGTTTTTAATTTTAACCAGAAAGCACATAAAGATTCAGTGTTTTTGTAGAAATTGTATCGAAGTGCTTGGCCACTTTGTGTTTCTATTAAATGTTCTTGAAATTGATTAATATTAACAAATTCCTCATTAAGCATAGGCTGAGTAAGCCACAATGACTTCTTCTAGGAGGTGTTGGTATTACTTATGATTTGGTGTATTACTAACTTCTTTGGTTCAACTCAGCGCGACCCAAGAAATATGCTTCGCGACCCAATTTTGGGTAGCGACCCATAGGTTAAGAACCGCTGATCTACACCACTGTTAATTATCAAAATGTATTCAACGAAAGTTGCTTTGAAAGCATTGTTACCTCTATTCGTAGACCTAGCCCAAAGTTTTATGCAAGGTGAAATAAATTGACCAATGATGAAGTTACTACACATTAGCAAAAAATATAAATGAATAAATAATTTATAAAAAAATTATTTGAAAAATAAATAGATAATTGAAAAATAAATAAATTTAAAGCGTCATTGTCGGGTAGTCCTTTTTCATCCAAAGCTCTGAAAGTTTCTGGATAACGTCCGAATATTTTCTTCGTCATTGCTTAGAATTTCTAAGTAACTGCCAATCCAGTTCCAGTAATAGAAAAAAATTCTGTGCAAATAGGGAAGCGCTGATGGAAGTACTTATTCGCCTAATCTTGCGCCACCAACGAAGTTTTTTGTTGTTGTTAAGGAAACTGAAAATGTCACTGAAAGGAATAGAATAAATGATTTTAGCAATTTCATATTACTTTGAGAATTTTTCTTTTAATTTCAGATCCTGACTCAAAGTGTTCTACTGGTTTAAACTTTCCTTCGTACCTGATTGTTTTTCAATACATGGTTCTTCTGAAGCTGATTCTTCTGCCTGTGTTATTTGCTCTCTTTAGGTATATTTATTGAATAAGACTTGAAATGACTTTGAAAGGTATTTTTTATTTGAGGAGATTCAGATGTTTTATCCCAATTATTTTAACTCATTCCCCGATGACGATGTGTTTGCACAACTTGCAGTGGTGTAACGAGTTATCTTTTCAAAAGAAGTGATAGGAAATAAGCTCTAAAGCTAAGACTATAATTTTTAAACTATTACTTAAATTCTAAAAATATTGATAACTCATGATTTCTTGATTTTGATGAAAAAGGACGTTATCTTACATCATAATAAAATTTCACAAAATAGAATAATTACCTAACCAGTTTTTATTTTTTTGAAAAAATCACTCGAAACACACTGGTGGCTAATGAATTACTAACTACGTTATATATAGGAACTCTAGCTGAGAAATAGCTAATAGCAAATGTGTATTTGTGAAAATAAATGTTTTTTTTCCTTTCGTTTTTTTCTCTCCTTAGCAATACTGGAAATAAAGTTGAAGCTGAAAGTGACACACTTTGGAAATTTCAACGTTATAATTTAGTAACGAAGTTTTCAGTCTCTTTACGTTTGCCACCTCCCCTCAACATATTCAGCTTAATCGGGATGCTCTGCGAATGCATATTTATGATTTTTAGAAACACTTGTCATTTTGGTTATAAGAAGTTGGAGGTGAGTTGCTTATAATATTTATTTTATCTTTAGATTCATTCTCATAAGGAGAATGTCATACATATATTTTTTTCATATCTGAGGACCTTCCTTGATTTGCCCATGCTTCGGTTTCATCAATGTCGAAGGTGAGATGAGAGAAAAGTTGAAGGATTGCAGTGCGCCACGTTTAATGTCTCTCTACCTAAAGAACCCCGATAGCTATTTAAAGGCAAACGCTGTTGGTGACTATAATTAGGTGATTGAGCTACTTCAAACTAGGATATAGGGATAGTAGTTGCTAAGGTTAGATTCCATAGCTGCTGGCAATTCCAGTGACTGTGAAGAGAACAGTTCTTTAAATAGAAAGACTATATACTCTTCAAAATTTCTAAATATGTACAGTGCACAAAAATAAAAGGTCCACCCTGAATAACTTTTGATCTAATAATCGGATTTTCATGCTCTAGAGCTCCATCTTAATGGCTCGAGAGAGTGTGACCTCAAATATGTTAATTAAGTTCTGGCGATACTTTAAGTTAACTTATCAGACACAAAAACGTACTTCCTCTGAATAAACATACCTTCTTTTCTCGACCTCAAAATATAGGGGATACCGCAAATATGGTCCTAATTCCTAATAGTTTGGTCAGGAGAGCGTTTCAAAGTTAAGACCTCTTAAATGTAAATATTACTTTTTGCGCATTTCGCTATACATCGAGAACTTTTTAATTGAAAATTTTTTATACACAATTATTAAAATCGCTGAGCCAAAAATGATTTAGTGCCATAATTACTTTTAGTAAATATTTATTATTTCTTATTATTTTATTTAATGATGGTTGAAGAAATTTTAAATAGTAAGATATAAAATTTTTTACATCATTTTAAAAAATGTATTTTTACATGACAAAATACAAAATTTGAGTTGAATGAGTCAAATAGTTCTTGAGAAAAAGAATTTAAAAAAAAGTCAGATAAAATTCGATTTCTCAGGAACTATTCGACCGATTTTGCTCAAATTTTGGGCTCTGCTATATAAAATTACATTGTTTAAAATTATGTAAAAAATTGTATTCGTTACAATTCAAAATTTTTTCGACCATTATTAAATAAAATATTCAAATGCAATAAATATTTACTAAAAATTATTCTTTGCATGGATTTATCCTGGGTTAAACGAATTTTATAATTGTGTGCAAAAATTTTTCAATTTGCATAAAAAAATTCTCGTGATATAGCGAAATAAGCAAAATTAACATTAAGGGGTTCAATTTTCGGAGCGTTCTCTTGACCAAACTAGTGGGAACATATGTCCCAAATTTCCGGCTATTCCCTCTATTTTGGGGGTCAAAAATTTTAATTCACCGAAAAAAAAAAGGTATGTTTGTTCAGAGAAAATATGTTTTTGGGTCTGATTTTGTAACTTAAAATGTCTTCTGTATCTATTTATTAGCATATTTGAGGTCACCCCCTCGAACGATTAAGATTGAGTCCTAAAACTTGACAATCCGATTATTAGATCAAAAGTTATTCACGGTAGCCTATTTCTCTTTTTCTATTTTCTTCTTTTTTTCGCATTTAATACTCTCTTGAAATAGAATCGTGCGGAAATGCCAGATTTCGAAAACGAACAGTATTAAAATTTTTACTATGAATTTATGGGAAAGTTTACCCTTTGGAATTTATTCTTTGAATTGTTTAACCAGTTAAGCATATTATATTAGAAATCCCCTACAGCGTGTGGAATTAAAATCAAGCAATGACGTGTATACCAGATCAAAACAGACGAGTCAAGGGCAAAAATGAACGAAAAATTTAATTTCAAGATTTTTTTAATAGTTATAACAGGGCTCGAAAAAACTAAAAAATTTTGCCCGTCCCCGAGGACGGCTTGTCCAACAATGTACCCGTCCTCCTTTGAAACTAACCCGTCACTTCTAAATAAATAAAAATATAATTTTCTCTTAATTGCACAATGAATTAGTAGCTACTAGGATTACAAATACTAGGATTGCATTATACAGTAATAAAAGGAATACTATGTTACTAAGAGGAACCTAGTATTTCTTTTATAAAATAATTTATTTCTTTTAAGAAATAATTTAAATGACAAATGTCAATTTATCCGAGGGTACTGCGTTTTTTAAATGAATCAAATATGACGTTTGCCGGTTTCACAATCAAACTAATGATTTACAGAGGTTTCTGCACAAAAATCTGAAAGGGGTTTTCCATTTAGGTAGATGTTCATAGTTGCGTTTAACGCTTCTTGTTTAAGACCAGTACGTAATGTTTTTTTTAATTTTTTTTTTATTGTATGTTCATTGCTGAAAAACCTCTTTCAACCGCTGCAGTACGGGAGACAGAGAAAACATCAATTCCACCATGCGCAGTATGTTGCTGTATTTTTAGATCAGAGGGTCATTTTAGAAGTGAGGCGCTAGACTCTTGTAAGATAACAAAAATTGAAAAAGGAATAACCAACATTAAAGGGGGAAATGGCCGCCCGCGCGGACGTCGGATTCCAGAAATTCGTTGTCCGCGGGGAATTTTTGACCGCCGAGGACGGGCGGACGGGTGGTTTTTCGAGCCCTGAGTTATAACATATGTATTGCACTCTCTTTTTTCACATAAGACAAAGTAAATAGTTATGAATAGTTTATAATTAAAAATAGTTATCGCTTTTTTCACTCCTCCCAAAAACTAGTCATAAATGAAATGACAGTTTCTCCTCTCTTCAAAAGCGAGGTAAAGAGAGCTTTTGGAATGAATGCTTCGTTTTTTTGTATTCAGTCTGAAAAATGCCTTGCCTTGAGGAGCAAAGGGCTATGCAGTATTGACTTTGCTAATCGTTTGCGCAATTTTTAAGCATTTGTTTACGCAAATGAATGCTCACCATCTAAGTATAGCCTATGTATGTAATTAGTTTAAGCCTTTGCCACCGCAGTATATAACATTAGCAGTTCTATAGGTAATATAAAGGAAACACTCCACCATTCTTGTTGTAGTTTATTGAAATTTCGATAGCCAATGGGAATTTTTTATTTTGTATTATGAGTATACACGTCATACTCACCGCAATAGAGATTTGGTTCGACGTCAAACACGCTAAATTGGTGAAGAATTGTTAAAGAATCATCGCTATATGATTGTATCAATATATATATTTTTTAAGTTTTCTTATTGCATTTTAAATAAAAACATGTACAGATATTTTATTTTTTCTATTTGTTCAATGCTATTCAGTATTTAATATATGTGGCTAAAAATTGAAATAAAAAATAAGACTTATCACTACATTGCCCCAAGTCCTTCAAATGTATTGATAGAAAAGTAAAATCTATCTTTATATTTTGCATTTCCTTTCGATTCGTAAAACTGAAAACTCGATAATGCGCGTTGATCCTAGATTTCAGAGTTTTTCATGGCATGCGGCAGCCTTCACACATCTAGGTATGTTTTCATTTTTTTTAGAAACTTAAATAATGTTTTGAGGATGACCAGGATTTATAAAAATTTAAAAAGTTTAGATAACAGGGAGGAGATTTTTCCGCGTTTTAGCGGATTTCCGCTTTTGTCTCTCGAATTTCAGCCTTTTTTATCAAAAACTCCCATTCTCTAAAAGTTTCCTTTTTTATAAATATTCCGCTTTTTCTGAAAATTCAGTCGTTGAAGTAGAATAATTATTTCCGAATTTCAAAGACAAACAAAAAATTCAAACTACGTAGCTACCAACCCTTCCGCATTTTTACTTATTTTAGCTAATTTTTCCGCTTTTACGCATAGAAAATAAGATTTTCCTTATTTTTCCCCCGCCCGCCAGATAGCTCGTACTTTCGTAATTCAGACGTCCCTGCCTTATGTTCGCTGGCGCAAAAACAAACGAATTAATAAAAAGTTTTTAAAATCACGATGCTATTACCAAACATCGATTTTCGTATTTACTTGATTTAAAAGTTACGCGTTGCTATTTTTATTCAAGCGATTTAAAAATTATGCATCGTGATTCGTATATACACGATCTAAAAATTACGCATTATGATTTATTATATTTTTGAACATTGTATTTTCATATTCTCTGAATTTAAAATCTTATTCACACGATTTTAAAATCATGCATGTGATTCATATTCATACAATTTTAAAATTAATCATCGAGATTTATAACCACATGGTTTAAAAATCGCACTTTTTTTGTCAAATTTTTAGATATCATAGCTTATATTAATTCTTGGATTTCCTCTTTTTTACTTTCTGACTACTCTCATCCCTGAGATAGAGAATGAAGAAACAAATTGATTTTACTTATTTTTATTTACCAAGATACATTCGTAAATTGGAATAAATGTATCTGGATGCTAAAACCTTCCAAATTATATTTTAAAATTAAGTGTAATTTCATTCTTTAAAATTTTCAACAGCTACATGAAACATTAGTAACCAGTTTTTAAACTTTCCTGAATGTGACCAGTCCACTTTTTGTTATCAATGAATTTAAAAGACTTAAAATCAAAAATTCCCAAAATCTTATATTTCGAAAGAAAAAGGTAATAACAAATTTATACAATGTATGAGTTTTTAAACACGCAAAAATCTGGTCTATGTATTTTTTTCTTTCTTGATTTATGATATCTAATTCTTTTTTTTTAATTGAATTTTAAAGAAAGAGAAATCAAGATGCCATCAAGAATCTTTTCCATCCTATGAATCCAGCTACTGGAGACAATTTGCTAAAGAATATTGGGAAAAGCAAGAATATGAAAACCATGTAAAAGAATACGGCGAAAAAGAAATGGAAATGTAAGAAATTTCTTTAAATATACTTTTCAAAAGTAGCAGTTCAAGTTTAGATTACATCATGTGGGATTAAATGGCCACAAAATATTAGAGTAAAGTTTCATGAGGAAGTTGCAATATTGGACTTCTATTTTCTCTTGCTAAAATGTTATCAATAGTACATTTTTAGATACCAAAATTTCTATCAAAATAATAAGGGTCAAATTGTAGAATTTATTATGAGACCTGCGTAAATTATTTAATTAAAATAAATCTGCCCCTCAGAGATATTCACTCAACTCATTCATCTAAATTATTGAATAAATTTTGAAGAATAGAACAGGGATGAGCACGATAGCAAATCTCAGATAATTAAGGCAAAAACGAGCTAAAATCAAGCATTGGAACTTGAAAAAAAATAAAGATATCTCGTCTCTTTATACGTCAGCTTCGCCATGATGGAACTTGTCAAATTATATTAGGTGAAGGAAAGGTGATGGAACTTGTCAAATTATATTGGATGAAGGAACGGTGGTGAAACTTGTCAAATTATATTGGGTGAAGGAACGGTGATGAAACTTGTCAAATGATATTGGGTGAAGGAACGGTGATGGAACTTGTCAAATTATATTGGATGAAGGAGCGGTGATGAAACTTGTCAAATTATGTTGGGTGAGGGAAGGGTGATGAAACTTGTCAAATTATATTGGGTGAAGCTTGGCCAAAGAATACGTGAGACAACACGTAACAAAGAATATGTGCTCTTTGTTCGCCAAGGGGTGAAGGAACGGTGATGGAACTTGTCAAATTATATTGGAAATAAAAATTAAAAAGGAAATGTTTTTTCCCTATCAAAATATGTTGTGAACATCTTCTTAGCGAGTGAAAATATAATCGCTGAGATAAACTTGGTATTTTTGTAAATGAATTGGAAGTTAAATATTTGATTGTAGTCACATTTGTGCACATGATGGCTTCCTTACAAAAGCTGACATTTAATTTGCGATATGTTGGTCAACATATTTAATCTTTACATCGTTTAAAATAACCCCTCACGATTTGAAATTTTCAGATCAAAATTATCTCCTATGACTTGGAATATTTCGGTTTGGTTCAGCGTTCCATCGGTTAGATCTGGCTATCTTTCAGTTCAATATGTAATAGTCTTAAAAAAAACTCATTAGAACCATATAATTAGTATAATAATAACAAGAATCACTCAATGGAAATATTGGCAAAAATTTTAAGGAGCAAATATTAAAACGTAAACATCTAGAAAATTTTTTTCTCAAAGCAGAGCAAGTTGGCAACTCTGTATAAATAATAATAGAAGTTCATATATGAAGAAATTGTTAAAGCTAATTTTAATAACCTTAAAATTGTTCAGTTCGTGAAATTACTAAAGGTTTCCTTATTTACGTTTGAATCAAAACTATTAACAAGTTTCTCTATGTTTAACATGATTAAGCAATGTTTCCAATGAATTAATATTTAAAAGTTTTTTTTTTCATTCAGTACTGTTGATTTTGCATATGTTTGTTTCTAGGAATGCGTTTTGAAACGTAGCTAGGAACAAATAACAAACTTTTCATTTTATCATAATAGATTATGGTAGACAAAACTATCTTGTTTTTTCAAAATTTAAAATATATTTGTGCTACTTTTTTTTTCTTGTTTGAAAAAAAAAAGTAGTTAAAATAATTTTTTCTTGTTGCTGGGAACAAATGGGTTAAATTTTAAAATGAATATATTTTTTTGATTCTACTAATCCGATTTTGAAACTTGATCAATTTTTATAAAATATTTTTAAATAGTAATTTTTTTCTTTTAATAAAACTTAAATAGTTCTGAATATGATAAAAATGCAAGTGTTCTATACAGCTTATATTATTTCTGAAAATACATGAAATATTTCATTATGATGCATTATGAACGATCTATTTAATATGGTTTATTTTATTTTATAACTGATGTTGAACAGCTGATCCAATTCTGAGTTTACGACTATCAATGTTCAACTCCGCAGCCATGTAATTTTGAACCCAACCAGAAGACAAGGAAACTGCTGGATTAAGCATAGGGGACAAACTAGCCTTTGTGGCGAACCCGCATTTGCCTTACATGGCGAGGAAAATCATGAAAACCTCACATGGTTAGCCCGACGGCAAGGGGATTTTAACCTATTATCCGTTTACCACTAAGGATATATTTTACGTCAGATCTGTGGTCGGTGCGAGCCGGGAGCAGAATTCGTATCAATCAACCACCTCTGGGATTCGAACTTAGGTTACCTCATCAGGAGGCGAACGCTCTTTCTATTTATAATAATCGAAATGAAGAAATTATCTTGATGTAATCGTGTACTTCTTTCCGCCTCAGAATAAATAATCTTTCTATTTATAATAATCGAAATGAAGAAATTATCTTGATGTAATCGTGCTTACTTCTTTCGGCCTCCGAATAAATAATCTTTCTATTTATAATAATCGAAATGAAGAAATTATCTTGATTTAATCGTGCTTACTTCTTTCGGCCTCAGAATAAATAATCTTTCTATTTATAATAATCGAAATGAAGAAATTATCTTGATTTAATTATGCTTGCTACTTTTTCTCCTCAGAATAAGTAGTCTTGTAGATGATGTCTAGTAGATTATCTTGATGTATTCGTGTCTACTTCTTTCCGCCTCAGAATCGATAATCTTTCTATTTACAATAATCGAACTGAAGAAATTATCTTGATTTAATTATACTTGTTACTTTTTCTCCTCAGAATAAGTAGTCTTGTAGATGATGTTAATGGAAATGAAGAAATCATCTATCGTATACGAAGTCAAATAGCTCAATTAGAAGCAGACATAAACTACACTCATGCTCATCTCGAGACTCTGAAATATCGCGAGAAAAAAGAAGACAGTAATACTATCACATTTACTACATTCATTAGAGTAAAAATAATTATTATCAAATTATCTTAACTGATATGTATCGTTAATACTGATTCAATTTTTATTTTCAGAGTTAAATAGGCCATTTACATTGCATTCTTTATCACGTGATTCCCCCTATCCCAAAACTAAGGTTCAACGCTTTCCTGTTCCCGACAAATATGTTCCCTGGGAAGTTATGTGGCTGCATTATGAGCCGGCTATATACACTCAGCCCAAAAGCGAATTCCCTAACTCTCTGCAACCTTATGTGGATGACGATATTTCCTGGTAAGTATTAGATCTCACATCAAATTGTTGTAGGTTAGATCGTTAGAACTAATTGTTACATTTATCCTATTCCTTAAACTGTCAATAATCTCCTTCTAAAATAGTTGCGAATGCTTTGAAAGATCGAAGTGATTTAATAGAACAAAGGACAATTATATATTTTGTCTGATTGGTTATACAGGGTTATTCATAACTCCCTCCGGGGTTTCGAAGNTTCTCTTCATTTTCATGCATTGTCATCCAATTCTGAACTGTGTGCTAAATTTGAAGTTTGTAGCTAGTCGGGACGTTAGTTTAAAATCGATTACAAAATTCCACCCGGACAGACATACACGAAGGCAAGTTTATATAAACGTGGTAAAAATGGCGTTTACAGGCGGAGGGAAGAATGAATAACCCTGTAGATGTAATAGAAGTGTATGGAAGAATGACAGCAATAAATGTTACATACTTCAGTTTTTAACTTCAAAACTATGATAAGAACGCAAAAGGGAATCCTTTATGAATCTAAGAAAATGGTGGGAATAAACAGGGCTGCCATGCACCGGGCTAAAAATCCCCTCTTATAACTTAAATTTATTGAAAAATTCCGTGCATTTTGAGCACTGTCTATTTTCTTAAACACGAGTCTATTTTCTTAATGTATGTTCAGAATAAAAAATTTACCGACTGCTTGGTTATTTTTTAAATCCAGGCAGTCATTCATTTCCCTATGTTTGACACATTAAAATGGCTGAATTTTTATATGCCGTGAAGCAAAAAAATCTTCTAATATATATGTGGTTATTTGTTCTAGCTAAATGAATATTTTTTCTGTCATCTCAATTTGATTTTTGAAAAGAATAAAAAACATTTGCTTCATGTGAAAACAGTCCTGTTTCGGATAAGTAGAATTTTCGTAATTTGCGTGACGTATATTACTCAAGCTAGGTCAACATTGGGTTAACAAAATGTTCTTATATCATATTGCACTTCTTACGTCAACTTGTATAGTTTGTTAACAAAATGTTCTTTGTTTTTGTGGAAAATATTTACTTTTAGAAGAAAAAAAACAACAATGAGGAATGAAGAATAATTAGGGAATTGAGCAGATGTTGAATCCCCGTTGTCTCTTAAAAAGCAATAACAATTGTAAATTATGCTATACTAGTGGGCAGCACCCCCTGCTGGCTAAGGCTTGCCAACCCCCGAAAATTGCTACGCAATCTTATAAGGTTTGCTTCGCAAACAAAGCTCGCTACTAACTTAGGTACATTGCAAATGCACAAAATTCTAAGAATTCAAAACAATCATTCAAATCCATATAAAAACTTTTTTTTAAAAAAAAAATTACATCTTTTTAGTAAATACTAAGTCATTAAAATAAATTTGAATTCAAATAAATGACATGTAATTCGTTAAACCTATTAGAAATGTGCTATAGTATAATTCGTGATATAAATCAAAAATCGTCAAATAAATTCGTAATATATAAATTCGTGAAAAAAATCGCTTTCGACAAAATACTAAAATAGAGATTTATAGACAAAGACTACTCACTTCTGCCTAGCTTAATAGTATGAGATTGCCGCAGCTGATTCTCTCTGGTTATTTCAGTTTCCGTTTTTAAAAGCGCTATATGTTGAGCCACCTCAGCTAGATTTGGCATGTGACATTTTTAGCGGCAATCATTGGTCGATTCGCCGTGTAAGAGAAATAGTAACGTTAAGCAAACGTTGCCACCGGCGGAAAAGAAATACGGCCAAAATTTGGGAGTCACGTAAGAGAATTATGTATATTAGATTGTTACATAAACTGGCAATATGGAAATTATAATATGTAATGTATAAGAAATATTTTAAAATAATAAATTAACTTTTCCCTTTAAGTTCGATAAACGAAGAAGAAAATGATCAAAGTAATTTGCCAAATTATTTGTGGAACATGGAATCTGTGGATTCATCAGGTGTATACAGAAATAGAAAATCATGGATTACTGATAGAAAAGGAAAACCGCTGACTTACAAATTAGATATATATGGTTTGCCAAGGTAGGAATAGATTTTCAAAACATTTGCAATTTCATTTCCTGATCATAAAATATGTACTTATTTTTTCGTTAGTGCAATTGTTAAGTCTAAGGGGTTAAGAAAAAAACATGATATAACTAACACTCTTTTTCGTAAAACTGAGTTGGAAACAGTAAATCATTCATTTTATGCTGTATAAATACGATCGAGTTGAAAAGAATTGTGCAGGATTTAAAACTTTAACGTAGTTTTTTTTTCAGTTTTGAATAAAATTATTAAAATCAATGCAACATATAAGTAACATTGGCACCTGCTAGTGTGTGCCATTGTTAAGTCCCTGAAAATCTAGAATTATATTTATCTTTTGAATATACAGTAAAGTCCCGATTATCCAAGTTAATGTGGACCACGACAAACTCGGATAACCGAAAAACTCGGTTAAAACGAAGAGTATAAAAAAGGAAAGCAAAAGAGTAAGTAAAAATGAAATATATTTAACAAACACAAAATTTATACGAAAACGCAGCATACAATTGATGTTATAATTAAAACGCTTACTTAAAAACACTTAAAGAGCATACTTTGCGAGAGTGAAAGAGTTTTTACTTAAAAAAGTCCCTAATCGTCTTTGTTTTAGATTACTTTGGATCTTTTCTGCAGCAATGTTTCCCCATTTTTCTAGAGGTAACAAGAAGGCTGGTTTCGCCTCTTCTTGTTGTTCTATATCAGGGGTTTCCAACTTGCATGAGGCGGGGGGCCACAATTAAAAACACAAGTCAAATGGCGGGCCGTAACTTTATCAAAATTTTTTGTAGGTCTCTTTTATGTTTGAAGGAACATTAAATATTACTGTCAGAGTTTTACCAAGTTGTACGAAACAAAAGTATTGAATTACAAATTAAAATAAGAAGTGGATTTTTAAAAATATGTATCTGTTATTAATAATATTTTTAAAAATATTAAATAAATAATAAAAATTCGGGCTACAATAACTTAATGGGCACTTATGTATTAAACAATTAATGTGCAACAGATATCTAATTGTTAAGGTATTAAAACTTACAAAATAGCACACAAAATATTTAATGAGAAAATTGAGGTTTGTCTGCTGCAACCACCGGAGAATAGATATTTAAATTTAAAATTTAGAAATGTGTGTGAATATTTTCGTCCAAAATGAGTGGTTTCAAAAAGTTAAATATGAGAATTTCTTCGAGAAAATTTCTGATGCGCACATGTTAAGTTATATTAACAAAATACAGAAAAAAAAATTAAATAAGAAAGAGCAACATACACGATTATTTTTGTATTTGAATAAATATTTTCCAAAACCTGAAAAATAAATTTCTTTGCACTGTTGGTATGTTAAATTTCACGGAAACGAAGAAATTAGGTTTTTATTAACGAGAAAAGTATTTTAAACCTATATAGATTTTTTACGAAAATTGTCCGTAAAAAAATGGCAACTAATATATGTTCGCGGGCCACAAAAAAAGGCCTCGCGGGCCGGATGCGGCCCCCGGGCCGCCAGTTGGAAACCCCTGTTCTATGTATTCAATAGCACTTCAGTCCCTCTGTATGAGAGATTTTTATATGTTAATTTTAATCGTCATTGTCTACATCATCTTTTCTAGTTCATTTTCCTTATTGACGATAATCACTTCATCGGATCAAGTTGTATTTAGTTTTCCTGTGTGTTTGGAAGATAAAATTCAGAATTTTTTTCGGCGGTAGTTTTAAAAATAAAAAATAAACTTGAGCAAAAATAATCCTTGAAATATTTGATGGCTCGGTTAAATCAGAAACTCGGATAATTGGGGCTCGGATAATCGGGATTCTACTGTAATTAATTTTTTATTAAAAATTATTACAAACAATGCTCTTCAAATTTCATATAGATTCTGTTGTTGTTGCTACCAATGCCTCTTGCCAATATCAGCAAGCCTGCTTGGTGAAACCAAGCGAATTTAAGGCAGATGGTGCGTCTCATGTTTTTCAGTGGCACCATCTTTAGCCAAGAATATGACTTCAGCCGCACACACGTCGCAACCCGTTTATCGGGCGGACCCATTCATATATCCATTCATTCATCTACAGATCGAAATTTTTGACCTGAACCAGAGAACGATCAATCTCCAATTCATTACCCCCAGATGTGTAATTTGTTTTGGGAACATGGAGGACTTTGTGACCTGGCAGATTTAGCTTGCACCAGTAACCATTTACTGCACGGAGCCACTTCGGCCTTCGGGGATCGAACTCGCGACCTCTTGGACATGGGCCCAACACCCTAACCAGGCTATATCTGACCCCTCATATAGATTCTAACGTGATTAATAAATTGAGCACAAAAATTGCACTTAGAAATGTAACATTATAGCAAACTTTTTTATTGCTCGTTAGGACGAAAAATTTAAATTAGCAATATTGATTTTAGTTAATTTAACAAAAAAATCCTAAATCATTAAAACTCGTTTTTTTACTAAATTTAATTTAAATAAAGCTTTATTAAAAAAAAAAAAACGAATAAATGAAAATGAAAATTTTGTTAAAAATGAAAATTTTTGTCAAAAATTGTTAACTTAGTAGTTTGGACTAAACTCTTGACATTATTTATGAAAATTTCTGATGCGTTCATGTAAAAATATTTTTCAGAAAAATAAATTAAAAAAACACTGTTTTTTTTAAAATATTTTAATAAATTTTTTTTCATGGTTTCACCCCCCTGAATATACCTCTGCGAAATAGACACATTTGTAAAGTTACCCAAAGGCTTTACTGAAGGTAATACCCTGAGAGAAACTTTACAAATATATTATAAATTCGAACCCAAATGCTTTTCATTTTCACAAAACTGTGGCTTATTTTTATATTGACATTTTGCGTCAATTTCGTAGTTAGACACTGGCTAAAGATGAACGAAACCTTACAGACACGAAAAATGTTACAATTATAACATATTAATCACTGAAAAACGTTATTACATAAGACGATACAACCTTCGTACAACAGACAGCAGAATAAAACTCTCTATGTACCTATAATTTTTTTTTTTTTAGAAATCCAATGGGAAGAACCGGATTACGAGGAAAAGGAGCTCTACCACGCTGGGGTCCCAATCATAACATATTCATTGTTATTACGAGGTAAATTTTTGCTAGTTTGGAACGAATTAAAAAACATAACTTTGGAAACCTCAGTTCTGTATTCTGCAGATTAGCTAGATACTATGTATGCTAACGGCTTTCATGCTATAGTGGTAACATTTATAAGTTTGTTCCATTTCAATTTGACGCGAGTTTCACACGCACGCCATTGAATGATCGTAGCAGCTATAGTTTGTCTAAAGTAAGAACTCCTCTAGTCATTCGTCTGGACCCATGGTGGTGACTATGATAACGAGGTATTACTATTTCAAGTAGAGATGTGGGGTTATTGTTTAGGACAGGTTTTGGCTCGGCTCAGCGAGAGAATATTTTTCTTCGGTCTATAGTGTTTGCTCTAGAGTGAAGATAAGTTACCCTCCCTGAAATGCAATATTCTTGTTTCCATGGCAGGAGGCGGCCTCAGACTTTGTGGCAGGGAGAGTTCTTACCGTAGACAAATTATAAATCGACATCAATTTAGTTAATGTGACCCTTGCTAAAACCGTCTCTTCATGACTTTTTCTAAGCATGCACGAAACCTCATTTTCAACATATGTTGCTTTTGTACTATCCATTCTTTCACGGAACTTTTTCGGGCGCAGAGCCTTGTCCTTCCAGACAATTATTAGAAAACGAAAAAAGGAGTAAAGCAAAATTAAAAATGAACATATTTTTAATTGCATTCGAAGTGAATAACTGAAAATACAATGCTAACAAAAATCAAAATATAAATTGGGTCATTTAGTTTTGAAACACATTAATATCCGTATTAAAATCCATTAAATTTAAAAGCAAGCATAAATTTTAGAAAATAAGTAAATGAAGATTATTTAAAATTTATTAATAAAATACAAAGAAAAGTATTAAACAAGAAGTAAATTTATTTACAATAAAATTGGTTTATTGTGGAGAAAAAAACACTTTAATTCCTATTCACACAACCAAATTTGTTATTAATAAAAGCATGAAGTAAAAAAAAGTATCAAAACATTAATTTATGTTGTATTGTATTATTTCTCTCGACTTAGCACTACAAATTTCAGCAAATAAATAAGTAAAAGTATTAATGAAATGCTGAGAATAGTACCAAAGAAGTAAATAAATTCATTAAAAATAAGGCTGGATTACTTAGGTGAAAAAAGCCCTCAGGAACACCTCGATTCATCCAACCATTTGTAATTGATATTTTTATCTTTCTGCCAAAACATTAATTAATATTACATTATATTATTTCTCTCTACTTAAAACTATTTTTCTTTTAAAAATTCATGCTAACAATTTTTTTTCAGATGGCAAAAAAGAACGTCAAAAGTTTCAGAGCAATCTATTTTAGGAACACCTGACCTTTTAGAATTTGTTGAAACATGGTACATGAACAAGAAGGATATTTCACTACCTGGGGTTAGTTTACAGATAGATTAAGTAGCGACACGCAGCCATTTTGGTGACTCCAACTCTCAATGTAGACCTACGCAGTTTCTATTCTCAAATGACACTTTCCATTGATCAATATTTTCATATTCTTGAAGATTTCTTAAATGTTTAAAATTTATTCTTTTAATTCCTTTTTTTTCTCTGACATTGTTTTATATTTATTCTATTCAGTGAAAATAATATTTATAAGTTAAAACTTTCTCATTTTGTTTTTCCTAATCTGCTGTAACTTTTTTTTCTAAACTCTGAAATTTTTTGCACGGTTTCTTATGAGGTTCAAAGGGTTGTATGATTTGAGATTCAGCAGAGGTTTTTTTGAGGACACTATTATCAGTTTTCAAATAAGAAGTTTTTTCGCCAATAGTTCATGTCTTTTTCTTCTTCATCAGTACCAATTATTATTTGGTCTTTTATAATAAATAATTTCTAATACTTTAAGTACAATTAATTAAATTTAAAGTGAAATCTTAGCTAAAATTTTATATGCAAATAATTACAAAATCAGAAAATATTTTACAATTGCTGTTTTATTTTTAAAATGATAAATAAAATAAAATCGTGTTTGTCAATTAAAATATAAAACATGTTATAAATATTAAACCAATAAATTCACTTGAACAGCGTTAAAATTTTCTGAAAAATTTCATTTTTTCCAAACACAATAATCTTGTCTTTAATTGTATTATCTTATCATCTTATCGGTATAACAAAAATAAGAGTTAAAGGCATTTAATTTTCGTAGATTCACTCTGATTAAGAGACATTATCTGAGTATTTATAATAATGCAAGGCAAATATTTCAATTTAATTAACAACTTTCAATATTTCAAAAAATAAAATTTTAATTCATCAGTTGTATAAAGTAAAAAAAGCAAACTTTGAGGTATATAAAATGAAAAAAATAAATACATATTTTACTGAATTAGTACAAAGGTATTTATATTGTATTCAATTTGATTGTTTAATAATTTTATATTTTATTAATGAGTAATAATGTTAATAACATCTTTAAAGAGGAAAATACTTGCCATAACTGTTAGTTTATTGAAATAGATACACTGTTCTTTTATAAAACAAAATAAAGTAATTCAAATTTTCAATATAGACATTTCTAAAGACGTTTCTTTAAAATTAAAAAGGCAACATTCTACATATGCAAGCAAAATGAGCAATTTAAATTCTAATGGGACAGTTATTTTTTTTAGCATTTTTTAATATAAAATTTTATTGTACTTAGTATCGTTTGGAATCCATTAATCTCTGCCAATTCCATGCAGCCATAAGTTCCGTCGCTCTTTTATTGCGATCTCGAACAACTAAGCAATATAACTTAAGCCTAATTTTGATTTATAAGAACACTCAAATGCGCAACAAACAATCGGTTTTTTAACCATAATTCAAAAGTATGAAACAAATAAAGTAAAAAGAAAAGCGAAAATAGAAATCAAAGATTGAGTGCAATGATATTTCACCGTTTAAACTAGTCAACAAAATGGCGATTATTTACCCATGTGATCGGCGACAGATAATCAAAATCGAAAGCGGCACAATAATAGAAAGGAAAAGAGTGACGCTACTTAAATTATATAATCTAGGGATTTAAGTTTACATTGATACAATATCAATGGATCACATAAACAAAACAAGTTAATTAATAAAATAAAATAAAAAGTTTTTCTTTTCTCATCTGAATTTAACTGAAACAACTTTTTTCAATCGAATTAAAAACGAGAAAGTAAATTGCTTGTTTGTCATCTTTAAAACAAAGACCCATTGCAAAAGACCCAATATTTTCAGGCTATCAGTGAAAGGGATGAGTAGAAAAAGGAGAATGGCAAAATTTTTATTTTCTAATTAATAGAATTATTCTACTATCGAACAAAAACATAAGATAGCCTTGTTTTTATTTTATTAAAATCGTATTACTTTATAGTGACGTCAAATAAAGTAATAAACAGTCGCTGGTGCGACCGTTTCAAATTGTCCCAAAGAGGTCATAACGCGACTGACCTTATTTTATTTTGTGATGTCACATGAAAGTTTCACTGACTATTTATTGAGACTTCAGACACTCGGTAGTCACAAGTTAGTCACTACTGGGACTAAAGTCTCTGAGAAACTGCTGCAACTTTGATCCCTTGAAAGTCATATGTGTAACATTTCACAACTTGTTTCACTAATGTTACAAGGGTATTTTTTCCGACTTGTCCCATTCTGTTCTTATATTTACTTTTTAGCGAATTTGTTTAGTTAAAGTCACGTGTATGCTTTAATGAACTTGTCTCAAAAAAAAAAAAAAAAAACGATAACACTCTATACAGACAAGTCACTTGAAAGTCTTGTACACAACTTTTTGAGATTACAATCGTTTAAAAAATTATCAATGTGCGAATCACAACTATTACATTTACAGGTGTGACCTGTATAAATAGTTATGAAGCCATCTGAATATGACTTGAAAAGAAAAATTGTTTCGGGTAATTATTGATTTAAAAATAATTATTTTAAATAGCGCTAGTTATGGTCAAACATTAATGCTATTTCGTTAAATACAAAGGCATGTGTAGGTATGTTATAGTAAAGCGTGTAGGCTATATAAAAGTATTTTAATTAGTTTTAATACACAAAATTATCTATAGCTGTTGTAGAACATTAATCATTTTCAATTTTTTTTTCACTAAAAATTAGCAGTTTCAAGCAAAATTATATATATTTTTTAATCTTTAAAAATGATTATAAAACTGTTTTGAATATTTTATCTACTAGGATCATGATTAATTACGCAACTCTCATTTTCTTCAGAATTTAGATCACCACTTCGCAAATTTCTGGCGTTAAACAACACTAAGAACAATCCACTCAGTAGCATTTGCACAAAATGGAGATAAAAACCACGAAACTTCACATGGATAGCCCGATGCTACTGGGACGTTGATCTGCCTCTATCAAAGTATAATTTGCATCTACAATGTAATCTTTGAGAGCAAAGAGCGAAAAAAAAAATTAATTATCTCTCTATGAGATTCGTTCATATGTATAGACATAATATGACTCCGCTCAATCATGTCGATTTTTATGTAAAAGTTGCCAAATATATAAGATGCCCGCATAACATTTCTGATTTAAATCTTAATATTTTAAGTGTGCACGCACAGCTTAAAGATTGCTGATGAGCCTCTTGTTATTTTCAATTTAGAAATAACAATCCGAAGAAAATAAAACTGTATTTGTAATAAGTATTACTAATATATTTAATGAAAAATACTCAAATAATGTCACTTACCTGTTTCTTGCACTGAATATCTTCGGCATTAATAGATTCAGCAACATAAATGATTTTTATCTATTTAAATATGACTAAAATAAGAACTATCCCCGAGAAATCTTATTTTTTTTTTAAAAATGTCATTACCCGCTTTATCGACTCCGCTCTTCAATAATTATGCCTGTTATACAGGGTTTTAAAATTTTTTTTATAGAATTAGTAAATTAACGTTAGTGCTTGCAGGAATTTTCTTTTGAGACAATTTTAAGTTTTGTAGTCTGGTAAGATAGAGTTTTTATATGGATACCATTTTCTATATATATAAAAAAAAATAGCATGTAGGTAGTTTCCTCAAAAATGCACTAAATGATAAGATTTATCTCCTTTCATGCACATTCTAAGACATGTAGGAACCCTATTATATCTGCGATTGCACAGTGGTATTGAGCTATCGCTTGGGTAGGACAAAGTTCCAATCCATGGTGGCGATTTGAACCCTACTAAGCATCAGATCAATGGATACCATCTGGTTTAGAAAGAAAAGAAATCATGCCCTTGGTCTCGAAATTGTGGAGCTCCGTGATGGAACCGACAAGTGACTCTTATTATTGTTGTAATTACATATCAATCACTATATACATATATAATTTTTCTCCTTAGGGGTTTGCAGGGTCTGAAAGTCGATATGCGAGGATACAAACGTTATTTAAAGAAGATGAAAATGATCCTGAAACTTGGGAATCAAGCACTGATATGATTCGAGTAATTTTTATTTCAAATTATTTAACTTATTTTTAGTCATTTTGTTTTATTTCATAACCATCGTTAAAGAGCCGACACAGTTTTTTGGCTTTACGACTACCAATATTCAACTCCGTAGCCTCATAATTTTGAACCCAATCCAGAAGACAAGAGAACTCCAAGTATTGGGAGAAATTCGCTTTCGTGAAGGAATTTTTAATGGAACTATCCCGTATTTGCGTTACATGGTGAGGAAAACCTCCCACGGTTAGCCTCACGGCCAGGGGACTTTAACCCATGATCCGTCTACCACTGAGAATATTTTACGACAGCACTGTAGTTGGTGCGAGCTGAAAGAAAACGTAATTCGAATCTACCAGCCTTTACTAGGATTCGAGCCCGGTTCACGTCATTGGAAAGCAAACGCCTTATTCCCTGAGCTCTATTTTCAGTTATTAATATTATTACTGTTTTAATTTGTTCATATGCTTTTCCAAATGTTAAAAAAATATTCATTTTGAAGCCTAAAATTGCATAATGCGCGTAAAAAAACACGGAACACCTTAGTAATCTTTGATCTAGTCATTGTATTGTCTTTACTTACTAAAATAAAATCTTAAAAGAAAAGATAACTTAATTAAATAAATTCCCGCGTCCGGAGCTACACTCTTATCCAAAATTTAAGTAACAAATACTTTTTTGTGGATTACCCAAAAGTTAATGAACCAAATCAAGAGAAATTTTAAATAAAAAAAATATATCTAAGTATGGCAAAAACAATGATAATGAAAAAGTAACGGTAAGTGAAATCATCATGAGTTCAAGAGCGAATGGGCGGATCCAGAAATTTTTCCTGGGGGGGGGGGTCAAAAATTAAAATTGAGGTCTTAAATTAAGATAGTAAAAAATTAAGTAAAGTAAGGCATTTGTGAAGTTTTAATATGGAGTATCGGCTCCACTGACGAATTTCCATGCTGTTTACGAGATTGAAAAATGATTTGGGACCAGACATATGACAAAATAAGAATTTAAAAAAAATAATGAAATAGCATAATGTCAAATTGCCAACATATTATTTGAGATCTTGATAATTTGGACATAAAAGTACTGAATTCAGTAAAAATACAGAAAATCATATGCCTGGACTGTAAATTTAAGGTATTAATTGTAAATTAGGCTTTGGAAAAATAAATACCATTTCTCCATTAAGGCACTTTTTAGCCCCGATAATAGATTTTTTACCTGGAAGAGATCCAATTGCTTTACCTGCCAGATATGCTTCATGGAATTCAATTTTGGTGATCTGATTGATCACGTCAACCTCTGAATATATTCCTTTCAGGCAGTTCACGACAGGTCTAGCCTTGTGTGAAATCTATAAATGCACTGGAAACCGATAAAGCTCCAAAACAATATTACGTCGAGCTCTACGATCTCAGCCCTATATCTTACACAAGTCCTGACGGATCACAAAAGAGCCTACTTTAACTGGTGAAAGCTAGAAGGACCTGTGACATAGTCGCAGAGAGCCTATGTTCTCTTTACTTATAAGCACCGATTTGGTCTGAACAATGATTCTCGACTTGACTTAAAGAAAACCATCCCTTCAACGTCATGAAAGTGGGCCGACGTGATATTGAACGGATCCACAGACATGCACGTTTTTAAGCGAGGCACCCTGTCTTCTCTTGAATCTAAGTTTATGATCAGATTTTGTTGCCCTGTGTAATATTTTTCACAGACATTGTCAGTCACCAGCTTATTTTTATTTGTAATTTTGCACATAACATAAGAGCTATGAAAGTCGAGGAATACATTAAAGCCGAGTATATTCAGATGATGGAGTGACCAGAATCTCTGGACCTGAATCCCATAGAACAAGTCTGAGAAGCTCTTGAGCGAAATATTTCATATAGCCATTCTGTCTCAGAAACCTTCCGAGGCTAAAGACTGACTAAATTGAGGGGTAAGAATATTATCCAAAGATTTTAGATTAGTCTCCAAAAAGTTTGTCCTTCTCAAAAATCAAGAGAGTGCGTTATATCTGCATTGCCGTCAGGGAATACCATACGTCATACTTAAAGCTCCATGTCTTTTTTTTCAGCATCATTTTTGGATTATTTTACTGTCATGCCCAGAAACTCTTGATGCCGAGTTCATGCCATTTTTCAATCTATTAACACCACATTATACTATGGTGTATTTTCATATTCATAAATTTCACTGGATTCGGTTCATTAATTCCTCAATTTTTCTGAAAAAATGTGGTTTGTTCGAAACTTTTGGACATGAGTGTCTTCCTTGTTTGTAGTTTTTTCAACGTTATGCAACAGACTCAGATGAAGTTGAAGTAAATGAGGAGCATGTAAAGTGCGAAAAAAATTACTGTGGTTATATGGACGATCAACTTAACACAGATCAGGCTTGGAAAGAAGTAGAATTATGGCATGTGCACTACAAAATCACAACTAGCTTATCACGAATGTTCAAAGTAAGTAATAGTTTATTTTTTTTTTATAAATATCGTAGAACAGCCGATCCAATCTTTAGTTAATGATTACTCATGTTCGACTCCGTAGCCATGTTATTCTAAACCCAATCCAGAAGTCAAGGGAATTCACGGATCAATTATAGGAGGAAGTTTGCCGGCTTGGAAGATTTTATGATGGTACTAACCGGCATTTGCGTTACATGGGGAGGAAAATCACGAAAACCTCCCGCGGTTAACCTGACGACAACAGTACACTAACCCGTCATCTGTCTGCCACTAAGAATATTTTACGTCAGCATTGTGGTCGGTACTAGGCGGGTGAGGAATTAGAATCAACCAGTCATTGCTGGGATTCAAATCCGAGTCATTAAAAACATGTTTTGCTTAATCTAATAAAATAAAACCACTGAGATGAACAACAAATATTAATAAATAAAAAAAACTGAAATTGATTTAACGTAATAGTATCAATATCTCTCTTTCAGTTTTGTACATGATTTCGTAGTGTTGGTCATAACCGATTTATTGATTATTTAGGTTTTTTTTTCAATCCGTTCGAAGCTATAATAATATACTAAAAAAATTTAATAAGCACAAAATATTTTTTTCCCTACGAGACTTTGCTCGGGGAAAAAAATTATATTCATTAGTCGGGAATTGTATCTGAAACACTAAGTATTGCTAAACAGAAAGAAAAAAAATTATAAGTTGAAGCCATTTAAAGTCTATTTTTATTTTTCTATTTTTTAATTAATAATTCCCAAAAGAATCTTAACTCGGTCTTAATGTCTGGAATGCTCTTGCTCCATTTCGCCTATTAGCGTTCAACGCCAAGCAAGCGATTTTCTTGGAATGTTTGTAGACTATTTGTTCTGAAGCTTACTTACCTTGTTCTTCCACCAGAAAAATACTCAAATGGTGTCACTTACCTCCTTCTTACCCAGAGAATCATCGAAGTTTAGAGATTTAGCATTATAAATGAATGTTACATATATAAATAAGACTATAAGAACTTTCTTCGGGAAATCTTATTAAAAAAAATTTCACTCAACTTGTTTTTCCTCCCGAAAAAATTCAAATAGTATACTTGCTTCTTCCACTGAGCTCTTCAATTATAGGACGTTTGTGTTAGATTTGTTTTAATCCCAGAGTAGCTGCAGAAATTTTTTTTCTTTGAAAATAAAATAAAACAATTTCGTTGTTACTGTTCACAAGTTATTTAATTTTGCTCAATCGCTTACTAGCTATTTTACTCTTTCTTTCATTTTTTTTAGCTTTGTGTTTGTTAGTTTATGACAGGAAGTGAGCGTAATTTGAATGGGTGATAAGATTTGCTAGTAGCAGTTAAGAAATAATTGTAAATTGCATCAGGATAGGGCAAAGAGTTCTACTTGAGATTTGTAAGCTTTTTATACTGTCGTTAAATGATCAAAATTTTGATTGATGTCAAATAATAGATCAAATTTCGATAGATGTTGAATGGTATTTTGTAATAAAAGATTTGCTTGTAGCCGACAGGAAACGAATGAATATTGCCACCCATATTGCAGTACATTGTGAAATATTGCATTGCACAATGTACCCATGTTCTTTGTTTTACAAAAACTTCCCTTCCATCATAAAAATTTAAATAGCTGCAAGTAATTATTAAAATGAGGATCTAATTTTGTAAAATAATTCATTGATGATTTCATCTCTTATAGAAACAAATTTATAGATGATGATTTCATTTCTTATAGAAACAAGAAGGAAAAAAAAGAAAATGATAAAATACAAGGAAAACTTGTTAATAAAATTAAATGAAAACACCCCCTTAAAATTACCAAACGGAAGCGGTAATTAAAAGAAGAGCTAGCATAAATATTAAAACCCTGGACAAGACAGGATAGAAGATCAAATGAATTTAAAAAAAATCTTAATCTTAAAACTCAGGAATAAGACGAACTAATATATTGAGTACGAAATTTATTGGGAACAGAAAAAATGACAAAAACTCAAAACGAAGTGGATTTAAAAATGTATCAGTTGTAAAAAGAGCACTCTGCTTCATAAAATAATCATCTGCTTTTAGCAAGGAATAATTTATTTATGAAAGCAGACGATTTTTAAGGAAAGCAGGTGTGATTCCCCATCAGACAAAACTTGCAAATGATACCACACCTCTTAGGAATCAGAATTCATTCAATTAAAAAATATTATTTCTTTCCTAAATATATTAAATAAATAAACGTAGCAGAGGGTAAAAAACTTTTTGTTCTTAATAATTAATGTCTCATCCGAAATTATAAATTAAGAATAACCAAAATTAAGTAACTAAAGAGGATTAAAAAAAAAAAAACGTAAATACTTTCGAAGTAGAAATTTCAAGTTCCTAACTCGAATATCCAACATTCCAGAAACGCTTAAGAAAGGATGCACTTAATAACCATCGGTCCCGAATTTTTTTATTTTTTATAAGAATCCTCTATTGTGCAGCGCAAATTATGGTTGAAAACCGGAAGAGTGAAATCCCGCAATTTAATAGGGTGTCAAATTCCAGGTTTCAGGGTAAAATTCTTGTTTTCCCTGACAGTTCCTGGTGCATACGAACCTTGGTCACGTAATTCTTTTGTAGGATTATTAGTACTAGCCGTGCAAAGATGTTAATGAAAAAAACAAACAAAAATATTTAATAGCATTAAAATAATTGAGCTTGGTCCAATGTGCACCTGGGCCCAATCTCCCCCTATTTCATTTTATTACTGAGTACTAGAATTTTAAATATACTAGGGGTTGGATAAAATTATAGAAGCACTTCTACACTAAACTCTATGTAAACAATTTATCTTTTAGCAGCAAATATTTTGGAAGATTTAACATGGCGAATTTGTTGGTACCATTTGAAAGATCATGCTTGCAGTTTTCAGAAATGTTATTTTTACCAATGCAAAATTCAACTTTACCAAAATGAGGAGAAGAAGTTAATTACTTCTTTCTAGCTTTCCTTCCAGCAATTCTGATATCATTCTTAATTACTGCAAGTTATCTTAGAATGTTTTTTTTAGTTTTAAATTATGTTATTGAAAAGAAGCTTTTAACTTCCTATTCTCACTTTAGTCAATGCAAATTTTACATGGTTAAAAAAAAAAACTACTATTTCAAAAAGCTTCAAACATAATCTTCCAAATTGTGCCAACAGTTTTGCCATGTGAAATCCTCAAAAACATTTGCTGCTAAAAAAAATATTGCTTACATAGAGTTATTATAGTAATGTTTTTCATAATTTTGTCCAAGCCCTATATATTTGTTTAGATTTTTGAAAAATAACCATTAATAAATCACAACACATATTTTTATTTTAACTTTTCTAACAGATTTCTATCTCTTTTAGCCAGATGTTAAGTGGGCAGTTTTGACAGAAGATGTTTTCATTCGACTAAAAGATGGACAAACCACTCTTTTACAGAATGCAGTTCGATCTCTGGCAACTAATATTGATTTATAAATCAAAATTAACTGAACTTTAAATACTTTGAGCATATTACTTGCACATGTTTAATAAAAGAGACTGAATTCAAAACAAAAATGTGATTCATTAATCAGTGTCATTCTTAAAAATATTGAATGTTAGAAAGATTTTTGTCACCTAAAATTTACTACTATTTTTAAATTTAGAACAAAATATTCAGCGTTTTATTATTTATTTACTTCATAAATTTTGTTTAAAACATAGCATAAGTTTAAAAAGTTTAACAAACTTTAGTTGATAAATTAAATTTTATTTACTTATTATTATATCTAAACTAGTGAATATCTAAAACAGGCAGTTAGGTTCGCTAAAAGGATTAGAATCAAGCTTTTAATCTTGTTAGTTTGGAAATAAACTTAGGTCCTCTTTAGATTTAAACAAATATTTTATTTAGTTTTTAGAAAAGCATCTTTAAAAATATTAACTTAAAATTTCACAAAGAGTTATAAAAAAAAGAAAAGAAATAGTCTATGTTATTCTCACAAGCTTAGTTTTTCTATTCCCTTTTAAATATTTGTAAAACCGCATTTTCTCAATTTTCTTTTTAATTTCATTAAAAAAATAAATGAAGAAAACAATCACAAAATTGTATGGCTTTTTATATAAAAACACCTAACTTAAAATTAAACATCTAAAAATATACTTCTTTAATGTTTTTTTCTTGTTGATATTTAATTTTTTGACCAGGGATACATAAACTTTCTCTTAAAAGAACTGATAAATTCAGTTATAAATTGATACAAAAAATTTCTTAAATATCCATTATAATATACAGTAACCAAAAAAAAAAAAGTGTTTCTGCAGAAAAATTAACATCCAAGATATTTTGTGACAAATAGCTTTATGTTAAAGATAATGAAAACTTCCCTTTGTACACTTCCCCCTTTTTTGAGGGAAATGGGGATGATTTGAATTTCTTCTAAACTAGTAAGAGAAAAATATTTTACATGTCAAATTGAATGAGACTAATCACAAGACGATTGGACTAATAATTTAGAAGTTATTATTTATGTAAAAATTAGTATTTGTACCTAATTACACATCTGATATTGCTACATAAACAAGAGAGACATTGTTTCTGTGTATTTTTTGTTTGATTTAATCGAATGAGACTGCACACAAGTCAACAGAAGAAATAGTTCATAGGTTGCAAGAATTTTCATGAACAAAAAGTTATATCTTGCTATCCTTTAACTATCTGAACATGTAAGGTATACTTTCTGATGTAATTTTTCATGCTGAATTAAATAAAAGATCTATCCTGACACAATCAAATAAGAGTTTTCTTCCCAATAAGTGCAATTTTGAAAATAGTACTTATTATACAAAAAAAAAAAAATCTACTTTTGAAATATTAGTTTTGATTGCAGTTAGGTCAGGTCACAGAGATAAAATTATCACTGAACTATATGAACATGTAAGGTATACTTTCTGATATAATTTTTCAGGCTGAATTAAATGAGATCTATCCTGACACAATCAAAATAATAATTAATAAGAGTTTTCTTCCCAACGAGTGCAATTTTGAAAATAGTACTTATTATACAAAAAAAAATCTACTTTTGAAATATTAGTTTTGGTTGCTGTTAGGTCAGGTCACAGAGATAAAATTATCACTGAACTATATGAACATGTAAGGTATACTTTCTGATATAATTTTTCATGCTGAATTAAATGAGATCTATCCTGACACAATCAAAATAATAATTAATATGAGTTTTCTTCCCAACGAGTGCAATTTTGAAAATAGTACTTATTATACAAAAAAAAAATCTACTTTTGAAATATTAGCTTTGGTTGCTGTTAGGTCAGGTCACAGAGATAAAATTATCACTGAACTATATGAACATGTAAGGTATACTTTCTGATATAATTTTTCATGCTGAATTAAATGAGATCTATCCTGACACAATCAAAATAATAATTAATAAGAGTTTTCTTCCCAACGAGTGCAATTTTTAAAATAGTACAGTACAGAACCCGTTATCCGGAAATCACAAAACCGGAAAACCAAAAAACCGGAACGAAATTCGATAAATTTTCACGCTATTTAAAAAAATTTTTTTATAAGATTTTAGGATTTTTCTTTCTTTTTTGAAAGATGTTTACCTTACCATCATTTTAGAAATAATCATTAGTGTATTACTTCATCGTTTTTTCTTCTTTTTAATATTATTTCTAAATATTTTTCTATTTTTAGTTGGGTTTAACAATAAAAAAACGGCTTTTTGTAGCGATTCAGAAAACCGGAAAAATCAGTTATCCGGAATAGCGATGGTCCCGATCATTCCGGATAATCGGTTCCCTACTGTACTTATTATACAAAAAAAAAAATCTATTTTTGAAATATTAGTTTTGGTTGCTGTTAGGTCAGGTCACAGAGATAAAATTATCACTGAACTATATGAACATGTAAGGTATACTTTCTGATATAATTTTTCATGCTGAATTAAATGAGATCTATCCTGACACAATCAAAATAATAATTAATAAGAGTTTTCTTCCCAACGAGTGCAATTTTGAAAATAGTACTTATTATACAAAAAAAAAATCTTTTGAAATATTAGTTTTGGTTGCTGTTAGGTAAGGTCACAGAGATAAAATTATCACTGAACTATATGAACATGTAAGGTATACTTTCTGATATAATTTTTCATGCTGAATTAAATGAGATCTGTCCTGACACAATCAAAATAATAATTAATAAGAGTTTTCTTCCCAATGAGTGCAATTTTGAAAATAGTACTTATTATACAAAAAAAAAACTACTTTTGAAATATTAGTTTTGATTGCTGTTAGGTCAGGTCACAGAGATAAAATTATCATTGAACTATCTGAACATGTTAGGCATACTTTCTGATATAATTTTTCAAGCTGAATTAAATGAGATCTATCCTGACACAATCAAAATAATAATTAATAAGAGTTTTCTTCCCAACGAGTGCANTATATATATATATATATATATATAAAAATAAAAAATCAACTTTTGAAATATTAGTTCTTTTGATTGCTGTTAGGTCACATTCAGTTAAATGAGAGAAAAAAATAAGCATGAAACATTACCTCAATTGTCTGTACAACATTGCAAAATGCAAGTACAAAATTCAGAGATAAAAGTTAGAATTTAGAAAAATATAGGATTTTTTTTAATAAAAAATATGACAACTAAATACATTACTTTATACATATTTTCCTTATATAATCATAATAATTAAAAACTCACTTTAATTATGATTAATAATTTCAAAAATAAAAATATTATTTTAATTTATTGTACTAAAATTAAATTCCGCGCTTGAAAATAATATAATTAATATCTCTTTATAGATAATTTTTTCAGGAAACATTTCCGTTGACAATTTTGAACTATTTGTGGCCAGGATCTATCAGCCATTTCTTTCAGGTAATTTTGTTTAATTCCAATTGAGACATTGGCTGTCTTCAATCATTGACTAAAAATTCTTTAAAGAAAAGACAAAAGATTTTTTTAAAACTCTCACAGTAATCTTTAGTACTATACTATTTTTATACCAAGATTTTTTTAATAGTCTTGGAATGCAGATAATTGTTACTTATAACAGTAGTGTTAAAAATATTTGTTCTTGTTTAAAACTGTTCTAAAAATTGTCATCATTATTGTGTTTTTTATCATAAGTAAAAGCTGTGTTTACCTGCTAGTGTAGTATAAATTAGACAGAAATGATTATTAGAAACCAATAAACCTATAAAACTCATAAGAAATATTAATACATTTATTTCTGTTGAAATTGTGTGTACATTTGAAATAATTAAACAAATCAGTTTAAGGCAATAAAATTTATTTAAAACATTAAATAATTGCACTATTTATTTAGTTAAGGTGTGAGGCGTTTTGGGTCTCTTGGGAACATAGATGTCTTCCTAATATTATTTAGCCCCAGATAAAGCATACACACACGTTCCAAACCTAATATTTGAGAAACATGTTTTGCACATTAGTTATAAAAATTATTATAAAATTATTCAAATATGGCATTTAATGCTTATTTATAAAGAAGATTAAAATTAATGCATTCACATTAAACAAATAGATACTAAAAAAAATTTATCCAAAAACAATGCTAATCAATTTACAACACAAGATATAATACTGGCATACCTTTGAGTGAAGATTTTTTTCTTCTTTTTGCTAAACCTATTTAAGATTTTTTTCATTCTTTTTTTTATTTTTTTTTATAGGTATTTGTAAACAAATAAGTTCATCAAGATGTTGTTCAAATTTTAGAGAAAATACTACTACTAGGATAAACATTTTAGGAAATACTGTAAAAAAGATAATAAAAAAAATATAATAGGGAACGATAAAAACGCAGTAATATTTACATAAAAACTCAATATTCTGCAGTCTAATAGAAATATATATGTAATGACAAGCGCTATTTATGGAATGCTTTATATACTTTTATGCAATGTGTAGTGATTTGTATTTCAAGCATAGTTTATAATACTTAAAAATAATTTTAAACTATCAGTAGAAAATAACAATAATTTGTAAAGTAGAAAATAATTTGTTTTTGCAGTTACTTATTAAAAACTGACTATCAGTTATATCACACATTGGCTTTTTATGTTCTAACTTAATATCACAATTTGAAAATAAATAAATAAATAAAATTAGGAAACTCCAAAATCATCCAAAAAAGTTCAAGGAAATTGACTAAGGACCGTCTTTTTGCATACAGCAAGTGCTCATTTATGTCAAAAGTAGAAATTATAAAAATTCTCCAAGAAAAATACAAAAATAATGACATTTCATGTTTTGTATACCACTTGAAGCATTTAACATTAATAGTTTGTTTACTTAAAATCACAAATTCGGATTATAAAGTAAATTAATTGCGTCATGTTCTAATCTTCAGAGATATCTACCCCTAATAATTATATCAATCGAAATATGAAATAAAAATATAAATGTTCATATTTATTTTCAAGATAATAACTTAAAGAACATAAAAGTTTTTAATGTACAATTAATAATTTAAAAGGAATTTGAAACTTACCAATACCTCCGCCCGCATGAGGTGGTGCTCCATATCGGAATGAATCAATATAGCTTTTAATTTTCTCTAAATCTGGAAAATATTTAAGTAAGATTAATCAACAAAATTGTAAAAAATCAAGAGAATATAAATATTTTTATACTTCAAAATACTACATATATGAAATAGTTATATTCATAACTCTTAACTCTTTCTGTTATCACATTTAATAAAATAACATTTATATTAAATAATGCTTCAATAAATGAATAAATAAACAATGCTGCAAATAGGGTGGTTTGGGTGATTACAAGTGTATTCTCAGTCAATTCAAACAATGCAAGAAGTCACTGTTCTCTTTTAGTTTTCATAAATTTTACTTCATTTCTTCGTCTAGATCACTGCTTAACTATAGCTTTATGAATCTAGGACACTGGACAAAAATATAGCTTACATAAGCATTAGACAATTTTATCTATCTATCCATCAATGTATCCATCGGCGTTACAAAACATCAGCTTGAAGCTAGCGCTAACCCCTGATTGGTCAATTTGTGAGTTAAACAGCATACATCATCAACGCTCAGATTGAGCAATGTCTGACGTCTGAATCAACTGCAGTTGGATTACAACGTAATGTTAACGACAGAAGCAATGGCAGAGAACATCCAACAGAACATGGAAATCAGCCAAGATTTTGATTTTAACATTAAACATAGCTTCTTCTTCCTCTTCATTATAATCAGATATAATGTGTTTTTTTCTTGGACAAAGTCATTATTTGTCCTCTAAAGCACTAATTGACAATAACAAAATCAATACAAATTCAAAATAAATATTTGTTTACGTCATTAACGCATGCACAATGCGAGATAATGTCTGCATTGGAGTGACTGCTCACACACTGAGCTAATAAAACAGTATTTTGTTGGGGTCAGCGGCACGTCAACTTCCCGCTGAAGCACCAGATAAGGCGCTTGTCCTAAGAAACCAGGCCTTGGGCTAACAAACTAGTATTTCGTTGGCGTCAGGGTAATGTCAACTTAACATTGAGGCCCATATAAGGCGCTTGTCCTAAGAAACCAGGCCTTAACAGTGGACATTTGGTTAAGGCCATTGAAATTCGACTTGGACCATTATAAAATAATTATCAGTGTCCCTCAGTTCAAGCATGCTCAAATGTCTTAGGATGCGAATTCATTTCACAATAAAATAAACACATTACTTTTCAGAAAAATTCTGCATATACATTAATAATTGTTTTAAACTGCATACTCACCAACTCCTAGTGAAGCAGCTCTTTCTGAGAGAAAATCAGGGTCATGAATACGTTGAGCACCAGATATAATCTCTTCACCTCTCATAAACATATCATATGAATTAGATAGTTTCTGAAAAAAAAATTAGATCCTTTATCATTTTCTATTATAAATTTTAAAAAAAGCTTATAAGTGGAAAATGTTAAGTTGCTGTCATCCAAATTAAATTATAAGGAAAATCAGCATTAGAATATATATGTAACAGACAAAGCGAGAATGAAAATTAAACAAAAATGTTTAGAAAGGTTATAGTTTAAAACAAAAATTTTAAAATATATGTGGAAGCACTTCATTATGCGAAATATTTTGAGAAACTTTTACAATTAAAATGACAATTATTTTCAACTTCTTTAAACATTATTTCTGATGAAAGATTTGAGTCGAAAGTTTCACTAAGAGGTTTACTATTTTCTATCATAAGCATACCAAATATTATTTAAAAGCTTTTCAATTGTCAAAAAGCAAATAAATAAATAAAATTCCTTAAAATTAATAACTATAATCAGTATTCGGGGAAAATAGGTCTTTCCTGCAAAACATACTTTTGTTTTACTTAAAAATTTCTTTAAAAAATACAAAATTTATTCATTTATTTTTCCCCTTATAAATATATATTTTTAATTATTTTTAGAGAGAAAAAACTTGTTTAAAAATATATTTATTTTGCAAAATATATTTAAAAAAAAACTATTTTCTAAAGAGCCGGAATATTGTTACAAATTTATTTGCATTAGCAACACAAATTTTTAACAGGCTAAGTTACAAAACTAAGTGCGAAGAACATACTTTCTATTCCTGTAAATGAGCATGCAACTGTATGCAACTATATAACACAAAAAATATTTTTATCAACATCTTTTAAAAGGATGAACAAGCAAGAGATTTGGGTAATATTAGTACAGTTAATTAGTTTTTATAACTCTTGAGAAGAAAAATTGAACACAACATTTATCTTACATTTGATAAAAAAAATAAAGCTTTGTGTTCATGTTGAACTTTAATGGCGTAACATTTACAAAGCAATATCGTAAAAACATGTTTTTTAAAAGAACTGTTTCAAACTAACACTTTAATTTGTATATAAAATGCACAAATATACTTACAGGATTGACTGCATCAGGCATAGTGTAGAAAGGACGAATTGCAAGAGGAAATTTATCCAAAATATAAAAGTCTGTGTCATACTAAAATAAAAAATAAATATCTTATTGGCTTTGAGAAATTAACAAAGTTAAAGTTAAAATATAGAGAAATTTTTATTGCAATTTCCATAGTATAAGATTTTATATCCTTAAACATTACATACAACACTACTACATATTTATTCTTAGTTCGTTTACTTTTTCTTATCTATAAAATAAATGAATATGTTTATAAAATAAAGGTATTTGTTGAAATGCTTTAATTTGATAAAACTAAAAACTACCTAGCTATATTGAACAATACATTAAAACTTTCAAATTTAGCTTTGTAAATTTAATAAAAACACTTTGATGAGAAAAAGCCTGATTTAAATAAAGCTTTTTTTTATAAAAAGGAAATGCACAACAGAATCTTTTCTCATACCACTATAAAAATATTTGGCTGGTTGACAATTTTTCCCTCTTGGGCTAACTACTAGATTTCAAAAGAAAATATAATCTATAATATAATATTTGTCATAATATTATATATATATATATATATATTATATCAAAATTCCTCTAGTATTAACTTATTATAACATGTTAAGATATAATAAAAAAAACACATCTTTAAAATTATTATAAAAATATTCTCAACTTATTTTTTTTTTAATGATACGAAAAACTTTAATTTAGAATAAGTAGTGTAATTAATTTAGTAAAAATAATTCTTTTTCGTCCCTAATTAAAAGGAAAATTTATTCTTTAGGGAGTTTTTTAACAATTTTAATTTTGTTTCAGCATATTTACTATATAGCTAAAGTTTATTCTGTTCCAGGGTAATTCCATGATAGAGGGACAACTGGAAATCGAAATTTTTCACTTGTTTTTATTTTTTATGAATGTGAATAAAATTATTTTCATCGTGGGTGACACTTTAATAAATTTCAAGACTGCACTTATCTTTGGGCCGATTAAAACTGCCTAGTGCTTACTAAAATTAACATAAGCTTATAGCTCATGGGCTGCTAAATATATCTTTTTATGAGAATAGCCTACATATTATATTAGATTTGATTGTTATTTTTTTAATTCATAATTTCCTTAATGTATTTTTTTCAGCAAGCAAAACACAAATAAGAGCTGACCTTGTATATCTTTTAACACTGATCATTTATTAATACACGAGCAACTTTTTCTATGAATCAGTCATATCTGTATTTTTCACTTCATTACTAGTGCTTTGTCCTAGCTCCATAAATTTCCCTTTTTAAAAATAATTATAATGTAATTTGGTCCAGCATTTAAAAAAAATAAAGGAAAAAATAATATCTCAAGCAGATTCACAAGTACAAGCAGAAAATATAGTTCAGTCAAACCCATTCGTTTATTTCAGTGTGATATCCTCACTTGTTCATTTTGCGACAACTAAGAAAAGTAACAATGTTTTCATTAAAAAGTAATTTTATAGTTTTATTTCAGCAGAAAATATTTGTACTATTTTTTAAATAAAAAAATATGGAAAATATGATTCTTTTGAAAATTCAATTAAAAAAACAAATTGGAAATAGTTTTAAACAGAAAGACAGAATTCAATCCACTAATTTTTAAAAGAAAAAAACTGATTTCAGTCCTTAGGGCTGAAGGCTGACACCCACATATATATGCGTTCACAAAATAAATTTGTGTGTCAATAATATATATATATAGTTTTTTTTTTTTGTCAAATATATCAATGAAATTCAGGCTTTAAGTGAGGGACAAAACCATGGAATTACCAATCACTTTTTCTTAATAAAAATAAATACAATTTCATTCCTCTTTTAAAACTTATATCTTGCGAGTGTTTATTTAAAAAAAAATCCTCTTTCCAGCAGTTTTTTCTTTTTTTTTTTGTCATCTAAAGCACAAAATATAAAATTTACTTCATACTTTTAAGGAACACAATGAAAAATACTCAAGAGTACTGTGTTACTATCTATTACTCAACAAAGAAAATTTAAATTTTTTTAAATCTATGGATTCAGGTAAAGAGGTCTGTTTAATAAATTAGAAAAAAAAATATTAATATTTTCTTATATAATATCAAATTGCCTTTGATAAAGTAAATAAATCTACACAAATTTTAAAAGAATAGTAGTCCAAAATTTTCATTTTGCACACTAATTTCTATACACTTTACCTAATCAAACCATCAACATTATTTTTTTACCTTTGCCTTGACAATTTTTCCAAGTAACTTTTCATCAGGTGTACTAAGATCATCTTCATCACCAATTTCAACACCAGCTTCTCTCAGCAGGGCTAATCCTTGGGAATAGTCCAATCTTAAACTATAATTATTTAAAATTAATTGCAATTATTTCAAAAATAACTTTAAAAAAAAAGGCAAAAACATTTTAATACATTAGAGCAAAAGAAATTGAAAAACAGACAAAAATAGTTTATATTCAAGATGCTGTTTACAAAATATTCAAAATCGTAAATTTGATATATTAAAATGTGTTCAATTTTTACTCTATCACGAACTTATTTCTAGAGTAATATTTCAGGAGTTAAATGCTCCAGTGATTTAAATTTATAAGCTGTAAAAAAATATGGCATGGTTTAACATGCTAGCTATACAAAAAAATAAATAAATAAAAAATAACATTCAATGATAAATATTACAAATTAAAAACAAACCTTGGCTCCAGAAACTTAAAAGGTTCAGCAGGAAATTGTTTATGAATAGTTTCAATTTCTTTAGAAAATCTGTAAAAACAAAAAACCATTCTTTAAAAAAAACATCATTTCAAAACAGACAGTAAAAATAAACATGCTGTTTTATTCAAAACTGTTATTATTATTAAAACACATGAATTAAGATAAATCTGAAGAAGAGAAAAATTGTTTAAAAAAAGTTATATCAGTTACAAATGTTAGATGACAGAATAGTATAGAAAATTTTCTAAGAAATATTTTACCAATAACTTATGAAAGATTTCTTAACATGAACCTGTTTGATGCATTTTTTTTTAATGCTTTACAGAGTGCGTAGCCAAATTATTCAACAAAAAATAAGCACCTTTTATGCACTCTAATAATATTTTTAAGCACTTTAAAAGAATATCATAATTAGGCAGGGTTAGAAAGTTATTGACAATTGATGTTTTTATCTGGTTTTAACAGTCATGTCAAAAGAAATTCTTTTGGGATTGTTTTTAACAATCGTCAAAATGTTTAAATCATGCAAATCGAATGGCGTTTTCATAAGCTACGGTCTGACAATGCGCCGAAATAGATTGGGGTTGAATTAATTGTGAAAATGTTGAACAGAAAAATGTGAACTGTGTCTCTCTGCATAATTCGTAGCGAAAATCAACATGGTAAAGGAAAAATCTCAATTTGGAAAAGGGAAAATTAAGCACTTTTTAAAAAAGCACCTTTAAGAGCTTTTAAAAAAATGAAAATCGAAACTAAGCACCTTTAAGCACTTTTTAAAAACGCGACACACCCTGTTTTATTTATTAAATAATAAATCATCTAACCTGTCTCGTAGTCCTTTGAATATTTCAACAAACATTTCTCCAATGAGATCAACCACTTCATGGTAATGATAGTTGAATGCCATTTCCAAATCCAGTCCAATAAACTCACACAGATGTCGATGGGTGTTTGAATTCTCAGCTCGGAAAACTAAAGCAGATAAATATATTTTTTAAATCTGATAATTAAAAAAAACTATTTTTCTTAAATTATTTCATTTTTAAGGGAAATAATTTCATCAAAAAAAAAATAGCTATCCTAGCATAAATATTTGCTAAAATTCAATAGATTAGGTCATGTCAGCTTATTTATTAAGAATAGCAGTAGTATTCAATTAACGTCACACTAAAGTTGCACAATGGGCTATTTGAGACAGTCTGGTAAACATCCCTGAGAATGATTCAAAGACATGCCACCTCAATTTCAAACCTCTGCAGAGGTAAAGGATCCCCCCAACTTTGGTATCTTGAAGGCCAACACACTAAGTCAAGTATTTTACAGTAGAAAAGTTTAACGAGAACCGATATGGTGTACTCTCGGCCCCTTCACAGGCTGATCAAAGTGGTCATCTACCTGATAACTGACTGCTGCCAGTGAAGCTTAACCTTGGATATTATTTAGGGATCACGTCTTACGATCAGTCCACTCTGAAATTTTATTAAGAAGAATGACAAACAGAATATAAAACAGATCAAATTTATAAAATTAAGTACTAATTTCAGAAAACCACCGATTATGCTATTATTTTTAAATCACACACAAATAAAAGTACTAAAACAGAAATATTACTCTAATAACAACATATACTTAAACTTATATAGTTATTAGATCTTTAATATATTAAGTATGTAGCATTAACAACAGCACACAACCCATATAAGTTTTAAATACCAATTTATTATTAGAATTGAAATCTTAATTATTAGAAATCATAAACGTGTGTCTTTAAAAGAAAAAAAAAATCTCAATATTTAATAAATATATATATATTTGAAATAACAAGTTAAAGAACAAGGACACCTCATTTATATTTGTCAAAATTTGCCAATTCTCACAGAAATATATATTCATCTAATTTGATCAGCAAGAATCTTTATTGTGCAATAATAAAATGCCACAATTTTCAAGACAAGAAGGGAAATGTTTACTATTTACAGCAACCTGATACGAAAGGGTTAATTTAACAAATTTTATTGCTTATTTTACCAGCACCACAACTTTTAAAAACTGAAAAGTAAATTAATTTTTCTGGGAATACTGATTGTATATAATCAAAGCTACAACAAATTCTGTTTCAACTCAAAATTATTTTGTACATTAAATTTATATTCAAAATGTGTTAGCACTAGAGGAAAAGAATACCTGATCCGATTGTATACACTCTGTCAAAATCAGCAGTTATGGCCATCTGTTTATAAAGCTGGGGAGATTGAGCTAAATATGCTAAGCCTTCACAATACTTCACTTCAAACACATTAGCCCCACCTTCAGATGCAGCTAAAAATTACAAAAAAAGATAATATTACTGCTTCAAAGTATGATGAAAATTTTTATCATGTTCACAAATACCATAATAAGAGTATTTTATGGCATTACCAAATAAAATTACAACTAAACTCTTTATAATCTATATTATACTCTGAATTTAACAGTTTTCTTATATTTAAATGTAGTGGTTATTTATATCTTAAGGCTCAACATTGAAGTCATCTAAAAAATTGAATTTTAACCCACTTTTGGCCAAAGTTACAAAAAAAATTTTTAATAAGGTAATTAAGTTTTACATAAGCTCAATAAGTATTTTTTTTATTAAAACTGTCATGCATATTTTTCACTAATTTTATTTTTCTGTTAATGTCCAGAGAGCAGAAAAATAAAATTAGTGAAAGATATCTATATTACTAATACAGTGAAACCTCTTAGGAGTGACCATTTTTTGTTTCACAGTAAAATGCTTGTTAATGGAGGTTGGTTATTTTTAGGGGTTACTTTCATTGATTTCAAAATTTTATCCAAAGTACATGATTTGTTGCAAGTAATATTAAATTTACTCACTATAAATTTCTTGGTGTGGAAAAGTCACTTATGTCTTGTCATCATGATAACTGGATTAATAATACGCGGCCCAGTTAATAAAAGTTAGCGTCAATAAAAACTAACCCTACTGATAAAATTATGTGTAAAAACAAATTTACCAATTATGAATGATAGAAATATTTTAAATAAATAAACAATTATGCTTTTGCTTAAGCCTACAATTAATTTTTATATCATAAAAATTAGTTTGCTTTAAAGAATGAATACAGGTTTGTTCGTTGCACTCTGACAGCAACACAAGATTTTTTTATCTCTTTTAAAGATCGTCAAAAAGAGCTCTCTAAATAAGAGCAACTCACAAATAATTTGAATCTACTTATTTGTTTTGCTAATATTTTTTGTTTTGATATTTATTTATGTTTTCTTATTTGAGCTATTCCGCATTTGGTGCAAAGGTTTGCCCGGACGCTGGAACAGGTTTTGTAGGTCTCTCCTAAAGGTTTTCTTCAACGTAAAGTCTATAAACAAAATTCTGTGCCTCACAAAAGTGATCATAAATAGAGGAGGTCGCTACAGAGAGATGGTCTGGATCCTGGAGGTTTCACTGTACTATTAATAAAAAATTAAAATTAATATTAAAATATCTATATTACTATCACTATTAATAATATATTAGTAAGGAAGAATCAATAAAATATTAGTAATTCAATTGGAGTAAGTACTTTCTGTTGAGAAATTTTTAAACTTCTCTAGCTTCTTAACTTGAAAATGGTTATTGTCAAATTCATGCTTTTGGAAATGTAAAATTAATCATATGTTATGATGGGTTAAAGTTGGAAGTTCTGTAAATAAAATAACAATAAAAAAAAAATTTCATAAAAAGAAAAAATTATTTTCTTCCCGAGAATATAAATGAAAATGAGTGAGCACTCCAATTTCTATTTATTGTGATATTCAAATATGTAAAATCATAATAAATTTACAATAACAAAATTTACAAATTTCGCTTGGGCTACTTTTCTAATGATATCAAACCAATTTGCATCTTCTTTATGATTTTAGGGTATTAGATTAAAAACATGATAGTAGAATTCAGACAGATATGCACAACCTAAGACACATGAACCAAATGAGATCCTTGAATGATTAATAGGCAACTGCTTGCTTTCCAACCAAAAGTTAATTGGAAAAACTTCACAATCTGCACAAAAATCTCATGACTTGTTTTCTCACTTAAATGGTTTGTAGAATGTGTGCTCTTGAATATTATTCATGTATTTCAAATTGAGTTTATTTAATTATTGCTAGTTGGTGCACTTTATGATTGCTATTGGAGGCAATCTCTAACAAATTCATTTAACAATGAAGTGTCTTCTTTGAAGTAAATTTTGATTTAACAAAGGCCAATATACAAATGCCGCAAGCATTATTCCAGAATTTGTAAACAGATGCATAAATTAGATAAAAAGTTAAAACATTTAAAAAAAAAATACAAATATAGAAAATTTTTACCCGATATTATTTTTGGAGTATGAATTTCTTTGAATCCTTTTCCATGTAAGAATGACCTAAATAATTCACATATTCCACCCTCAACAGTGTAAATTGCATTGTTGGCAGCAGTTCTTAAATCTAAAACTCTATTATCTAATCTGGTATCTTGATTAACATGAATGTTTAAACCATCAGGATCCTATAATCACAGCAACATTCTTAAACAAAGAAATTCTAATATGCACAGTTGTAATATTCACATATTTTCAAAATTTATCTCTAGTTTTAATATCTAGAATGAATTTATTATGTAACTATGGAAAATTGATAATTTATATTCTAATTTTAATAGATCTCCTCATCTTACACTAAACTGTCAAAAAGAAAATTCTAAAGCAAATTATTAATAAATTATGTGGAATAATCTGTACCCCAAATTTGAACTACATGGGGTATTTTTTGTAACTCCAAAACAATTTTTTTTTTTAAATTCAAAGCAAAGAAAACTTTAAAAAAAATCTTAGACTGAAATTTTTTATGTAAAAAGCTAACACATCCCAAGTTTGTTGAAAAGAAAAAAATTCAAATTGACATTTTTCATTAATTAATACTTTTTATATCCTATCTTATTCAATCTTAATTAAAAATATATAAATAAATAAATAAAACTAAATTCCCAAAAACCTCATTTGAAAAATTTATAAAAATAAGATCAAGAATTTTATCCTTTCCTTTATAATTTAAATTAAATATTTAATTCATAAAATAATCTTTTAAAGTAATATTTATATTTAAACCTTAATATAATGATATTAGAAAACATCATGATTAATACTGCCCAAAAATTATCAAAGATAAAATATTTCTCAACAAAAAGAAATTACAGAGAATATTGTACATTTTCAATTTCAGGTCGAGATGCATCTTCAATTTGCAGTGGTAATCTAGCTTCGGAAGCACTAACAACAAATACCTGTAATGAGGAGTAAGGAAAAATTTGAATACAGAAATAAAAAAGACAATGTTTTTTTGTCAGTATGGCAAAACAGATATCATACATACAAGAACAAAACACATGTATTCTAAATAAATTTTTAAAAAAAATCTCACTAAACATGTTCTGCTTAAAATACATTATAACTGTTGTTGTTATAAAAGGACACAGTAACTGAAATTAGGTCAAATGTAATATTAGTAGTTTAAAAAAAAATATTTCTAATATTCGTATAAAAGTGCAGTGTAGTTCCAATTTTCAATATTTATTTGTAAACTTAAAAAAACATTGATTTTTTTTCTTCCTAAATGCAAGAAGTTATAGCTATTTAACACAAAGTCACAATTAATTTACAATTTTTTTTTTTTTAAAATTTTAAAAAAATATTGTAGAATATAAGAAATATACTATTTATGTGTTTCGTTTGAAATTATCATGGTAAATATACCTTATATTATTTACATGTAATATAATAAATAAACTCAGTGGCGCGACAGCCCATAGAAGGCCAAGGCCAACTTGTGCCCATATCAGTTTTCTTGACCTTGGGCTCTGGGGTGCAGATGTTCCGGTCAGGTGGTCAGCCAAACGCAGAACTCCCAGTGTTTAGTTCCCTAGCCTGCTTGGTACTCATTTATTAACCTACTGAAGGGATGAAAGGCTGAGTCAATCTTGCCCGGCCCGAGGATCAAACCCAAGACCTGTGGTATGGGAGTGCGAAGAGCTACCACTCAGCCACCGGGCGTCAATATAATAAATACTAACTTAAATATATATATACACACAGTAGAGCGCCGATTATCCGAACTGCTCGAGACCGAACATGGTTCGGATAATGGGAAAGTTGTTTAAAATCTAATGTAAATGATAATTATTTATGCATTAACTTCCCTTTGCACCTTTTGTAGGCTTAGGACTGGCAGTACTATCTAAAATAGCTCTGGCGTGTCTAAACTTTTTTCCTTTTAAAATTTTTAAATATTTTTAATGAAATTTTTTTTAAAATTTTTTTTTTCATTTTGAATTATTTTTATCATATTTCAGTTTTTTATAATTTTTTTGTCAATTACTGATTTTAAAACATTTTTTATTATTTTCCATTGCAAAAGAAATCCAGCAAAGATCTCGTTTCAAAGAAGACGCATTTTATTAGCAGCCATTTATCCCTTATTCTTTTTAAATAAATCAACTGAACTGGATCAACATCATTTTGACGTTGTAGACAATTCATTGCAAAATCTAATGGATTGCATGCTTCTATATGAGAAGATCCATTATCTTGGACTTGATCACCACTTTCTTTCACTTCTTCTGTAGAGTTCCGATTTTCATTCAAAATTTCATCATTTTCATCCGAAAGATCTACTGCTTCAGAAACTTCAGTTTCGTTTGTTTTTCTGTTAAGAATTTTATTCCAAGATTTAAGATTCCAAGCACTGTAATCACCAATTATTAACCATAAGTTACAACTACCCATTCCCCAATTATAGAACTTCAGAACTTATCAGTTCATAAACTCCTTCTGCATTCCAACCATTGTAGACTATCAAAATGAAGCTTGCATTCTTGGAAGACAATTTTCTATTGTAAAGGGCTAAAGGGGTATGTAGGTTTAACTGTATCACAATTGTACATGCATGTATGGCAACTAAAAGAAAACTGCTAAAAAGGTTGTAAATTAAATATGGTCTTCAGATGTAGGGTGTATTATTTATTCTTCTCAATTTAGAAAAATTGTCAATAGGTTAAAAAGTATTCTAAACTTAAAAAAAAAGAAGAAGAATTCAGACACAGGTCGGATAATAAGGGTTCGAATAATCGGCGCTCTACTGTATATTTTTTTAAGAATATCAGAACAAAAATTTCTAACTATAATGTTTCCTTTCCTTGCATATTTTATGCAAAATTAGACAAGCACCACTATCAAAAAAATATTTTCTTTTCATACACTTTGTTTTAAAATATTTAACAAAAAAATTTCTTAAAATAAAAACTTAACATTAAAAAAAAGGTGAAAATATCACACAGAATAACATCTTAGGCATAAAAAATAAATTTACGAACAATTAACTTAAAAAAATTAAAAGAGAATTAATTTTGAACAAAAAATACATTAAGTTTATTTTCAAATTTGTTGAATTATTAAATCAGATATTATACACCATTAATATAAAAGTGTTACTCTTTTTATAATCAAAATACTCATACCATATATATCAAATGCCAATATTCAAAAAATAGAATAAAAATATCAATATTACACACAATTATCTCTGTTTCTTACTTACTATTTTTCTTTTTTTAAGGGAAAAAAAAAAAGCCCAACAGAAGTCAAAATCTATAGTTAAAAGTCAATAAAACACAAGTAGTAGAAATCTTATAAATTAGATAAATTTTGTTTCCTCTTACTTTTGAAACATGCATTTCAACATTCTGTTGAGAACAACTCTCAATTTTTATAGGAGATGCTTTGATGTAACCTTCAACATCAATTATTGATTCTTTTGTTACACTATAAAAAAATTAAAAATTATTTAAAGATACAATGTGGTAGAAATGATAGCAGAATAATAAAATAAAATTTTGTACAAATTTATATTGTTGACATTAATTTGGAAAAAAATTTCTATTTTGTCGGTATACAATTTAAGCTAATGTTTATTTTTCAATGAATATGATTGCGAAAATCAGTTGATTAAGCAAATCAACTGAGTTGATTTTCATATAAATTTATGAATAGTTAGTTCACACTATCTTTTTTACTTTTTTAAAAAAAAATATTCTGTGTGTCTTTTTTTTCTCTTTGCCTTTCTGTCTTTATTCATTAAGTGTCTGCTCTTTTTAAATCTTTAAGGGTAGTAAAGATTTTTATTCTTCTATGCATGTCACGTTTTTTATGCATACTGTGTCAAGACTTTTGTTTCTTTAGCCACACAAAGGAGATTTCAGAGAAGAGATTTAAGTTGAGTAAGAAGATTATTTTCAATTGAGCACATCTTAAAATTTTGATTTAGGTATTAACTTGGCACACGAGTGATGTTGATGACAAGGCATTGCAAGTCAGTAGATACAAGGAAATGTAACTTTGTTATTGATACAGACTTGCAATCATGGTATCGTCACGTGGGAGCTCTTAGATGTTTTGTGAACCTGATTGAATGATGTTATGTCAGTCGCCAGATACATCAAACAACAATAGCAAATTTATTTGTGAAAATAAATAAATTTGTTTTTTATGTATAGTTTTCTTCTATTGAAGGAAACCGGAACAAGGAAGAATGAGGACCCAGAAGCAGAAAGTGCCTAAAACTGCGACGTACGTCGCAGAACAAACGAGGTCCTGCAGAACAATTTGTATCTTGAATAAGTGACAGCATATTCCTGCGATAATAATTTATTAATAATTCATCGTCATTAACAAAATTTTTCACCTCAAAAGTGATTGAAAAAGTAACAAATCAAGAATGTTTGCCTTGGTTTAAAAATAATGTACAGTATCTGTGTATGATCCTGTATTTTAATAAATGAAAATATGTATTTTTCGGCGGAAGAGCCGCGGCGCTATCGAAAAAAAAGTTGTTTTTTTCCTACATGCGGCGCTTCCGACGAAATATTTTTTAGTAGCAAAAAAATTTGTCAAGGAAAGTTATTTAAGATGGAATAATTTTCTGAGAGAAAGACTATTTAAAAAAATTAATAACGAAGTCGACGAAATATTCGCCCATATCGCGATCTGCTGCAGAACATCGCCAATTCTTAGCAAACTTTTTGGCAGCAGCCTGTAAGAAAATAAATAAACGAAATAATAATTTTAAAAAAACATCGCATAAGGAGAAAATTTAAAAGGTATGCATCTTGTATCCACCCCCAGCTTAAGGAAAAATCGCAAGCTAGAAATCTATTTAGCGCCTTGGCAATTGTAATTTGAGCGAACAGAAAAGGAAGTATAGGACCCTAAATCCGACACTCACGGGACTGACGAAATGCCGAACTTCGGATCTCTTTCGGAAATTCCAATATGGCCCCCAAATTTTACTATAATTCAATTCCACTGTTAATTTCAGAAAAACCAATAAATTTAGTCAAGTTTCGATCGTAGATTATGATGGGGTGAATTTAAAACTGGCCCATCTTAAGAGAAATTTTACTAATCAAAATAATAATCTATATAATATAATCAAGAAGAAATAATCAGAATCCTATGAAGAAGAAATAATCGTTTCTTCTTTGGAGCGAGATCATAGTTCTCGTTTTTTCTTTTAGATAACATTTTGTTTTAACAAAAGACGCTTACCTCGCAAGAAGAAAAAAAAAAGCTAACAGGGAACTACAAAAAAAAAATTTTTTTTTTAACAATTAATGCTAAGAAACTAACAATGAATAACAACAAAAAACAAGCTAAAAACTAATAACGATAAAAAAAAAAAAACGCAAGCAACAATTAACAAGAAAAAATAAAAAGCGGCAAAATAAAAAAAAATTTATGAATCGAATAAAAAACCGCAAAAGGGATAGAATTCATTTTGTTGTCCACGTGGTAGTTTCAATGTCAACTGGGTGTGGCCAATTTATGGTCAAACAGAAGAGGGAAATTTGGGGGTAAAGCACAAGCACAGCTGTCAAGATTGATTGATCAGTTTTTTCCAACTTCCATTTCTTTATTTTGTTCATTGGAAATGCAAGTGTTTTTACTTCTCACTTTATTTTAAACTGCTTAAGAAACAGATGTTTCTTTTGACACAGATTTATAATTTTTTTTTCAAGCTTTTTTATTTTTAAAAGATAAAATAAAGTAAGTTACTTCAACAGAATAAAATTCCAAATAAAAAGAATATAGCTGATTTTTTTTGTCTTATCAATATAAATTTCTTAAAAAAAAAAATTAAAAAAAAAGATTAGATCAGATTAAGTGCCAAATTTTGGAATGCTGGATTAGGGGTCCCATACCCTGTTCTTTTCCCCAACCCCTTTTAAATATTGAGTCACATTGGGTTATTTCCATTGAAGGAGAGGGCATTCTACCCACTAAAATTCCACCCTCAAAGATTGTGAAAGTGAAACTTATTTCCCGTTCGCTAATTTCTTCAGAATTTTTTTGGGGCCTGTTTAGTTATTTCTTATTCTTGTTATTATTAGTTATTTCGTTATTATTAGCTGTTTCGTTATTATGTATTAGTTTTTCCTCAAATTGTTAACGGTAATAAATTTTAAAATCTTTTTATTTTAAAATCTTTCTTTTAATAAATTTTTATTTTATTTTTCTTATTGCATTGTTTTACGGATTCCTGTAATCAGTTCAGCCTTAATTCAGCTACTGAACATATAAATATTTTTTTGCTGTTCTTCTGTTTTTTGGCGCGGTGCCAACTAGTAAGAACAACTTTATTTTATATAGTTTTGTTGTTTTCTTTTCTTTTTTTTTGCTGAAAGAGAAAACTTTTTTTGTTGCTTTTTTTTTGCTGAAAAAGAAATTTTTTATTATAATTTAGAAATTAAAACTTTATTTTGTGAAATGCATAAAAAAATGTAATTTTTTATTATACAGATATTCTAAATGGTAATTTAAAGGTCTCTTCTGAAAGGATGCTGATATACGCGGTTCAGCGCCATTGCGGCGCTTACTATAACTTTTTTTTAAAAAAATTCATTTTTATCGAGGTGCGGCGCTTCTGACGAAGCGGCGCTTTCGCCGAAAAATACGGTATTTTAATGTAAAGCTAACTTTTTTTCGCTGTGAAATCCTTGCAGAACATTTGTATATATTAATAAGTCCTGTTGCAGAACATTTGAAAATATTCTGCTTCTGGGAATGAGGATACTCTTCAAAATTGTCTCTCTCGTACTTTTTAATCACCGAGTAGTTATGAATTGCATTTTCCCAATTTTTAAAAAACTATAAAAAATTTTAAAAACTATAAGCATGCAAATATTTGCTTTATTTTTGATACATAAACATAGGCCATAAATAATTTGTTTAAAATTTATAGTGTAGTTTATCACTAATGCTTTTTCCCTCTTATCTTTATTTTCTATCAGGGGTTATATTTTTTTTTTAAACTAGAAAGTAAATATTTCAACTTTCCTTCTTTTTTTGTTGACCACATTACCTTTTTTTTTCTTTCAAACATTCACTTAAGAACGAACAGAAGTATAGTACAGATATACTTTCTTAATTTAAATTGCTAAAATATTTTGTGGGGCAGAAATGGGATAAGCTTTTTTTATTACTTTTTCAAACAACAAAATTGGGGTCTTTTCTAAACTGAGGGGATTTTATTCAATTCAGGGGTGATTGTGAGCCCAAGTCAAAATTCCGGAAAATTTCTTGAGTTGAAAAAAAACAAAAAACANAGAAGGGAAAAAAAAAAAAAAAAAAAAAACAGTTTAAAATTGAAAAATTAGAAAGAAATTTAAACAAGTTTTTTTTCTTTTTTCTCAATATTTCTTAGTTTACTTAAAATACATTTAAAATTTTACTCATATCTATACCATTTACACATACCTATGATGATCTGGGGAAGTAATTAAAGTTTACAAATATGTCTTTCTTTCTTAAGTTTATGATTATAATAACTATTTACTGATAAAAAATTAAAATTAATCATGAATATAAGCTTATAAAGTATCTGGTTCTCCCTTACAAACAAATAAAATAAACTGTGCTTTTAAGTTCCACCTTTGAAAATTTTATTTCCAGAAACTTCTGTGATCAATGATTTTTTGAAACGTCTGGACCTTTGATTTCCAGAAACTTCCGGGTCACTGTTAACGAAAAATCCGGAATTTTTCCGGAGCACAATCAGCTCTGTCAATTTAAAAATTTGAATAAAATCCCTGTTGAGTAAATTACATTGTTTTAAAAATCATCTTTTTCATATAACATTTTCCCCTTTTAAATATTTCTCCCTTCTCACCCTTTACTGCTAACAACATCCTTGTCTTATTCATTGTCTGCTCTTTAAAGTTTTCGCATGAAAGTTATAGCATCATTTTTAAATGTAATATGATTATCAAATTAGGTACTAACCCTCCAACAAATTTCACCATCTGTTTGCTAGTTTTTTCCGAAACAGAAAGAAGGCACTGGATGGTATGCTGTGTTTGGCGAAGAACAAAAAAACATTGTTTTCCTGAAAAAAAGAAAAAATCAATACACCTATTCCTCGATTTAAATAATGAATAATTTATAATCTTCAGCCAAAAAGTAACAATGGTTTAACTAAGATAAACTAAACTTACTTAGCTTAGATAGGCAATTACTTTTTTAGAAAAAGTTTACATTGATATATTTTCATTATAAAAGTTAACATGCTGAGGTTCGTATTACACATTTTATAATAACACTTTTTCTAATATAGGTCTTCAGAAAAAAATTCATAATGTCATCTAAAAAAAAATTCAGTTGCAATAAAATAAAAACATATAACATCAAAAATCGAAAGAAAAAAAATCATAGATGAATTTTTTTATAGATGTAAAATAAGCACACAAACCTTTAACACGGCTAGTGTGCAAACGACCTCTGACCCATATCAGCTCCTCTCCAAAATCTTTATCTAATGAATTAATGGAAAAGAGTTTCCGCTGGAGTTTTTCCTTAGACTGGATCATGGGCAGTTTACCATACAAATCTTTAGAATAATCATTTTCTTCCTCTTGTTTTGATTCCTAAAAACATATAAAATCAAATTGAAATCCATATTGCAACAGAAAATCACGAATGAAGTAAAAACTTATCAATAATATTTATAAAGACTTAAGCTACAACTTAACATTTTTTTTCATATTATGAAGACATCCCAAATGGAATGTTAAAACTTATGTAAATAGCAAGACAAGTACAAACATATATATGACTCTTATAACATCCCATACATAAACAATGCAAAAAGATTAACACAAAAGTAATTAAACACTTTTCATGGCTATAACTATGTATAAACAAATTTTTTAGATTTAAAAAAATAAAGGCAACTTACATATCTTCAAAGGTTAAATGCCTTATGCCGAAAACTATTAAACTGCAGCTTCTGTTGAATCTAACTGTTTATGATGCACGTTAAATAACGCAAATATTTAAACTTTTAAAAACTTTCATTAAAGGAATAGTTAACATTTTCCTGGATAACTAACATTAGAGATTTTTAGATACTCTTCTAGGATTTTTTTTTTTTTTTTACCACATTCATAGATTAAAATTCTGCAATCAGTGTTAACAATGGGAATTTTTATTTTTTGAGCAAATTTTGCAACATTGCTACTTTTCTAACTATATATACAGGGGTCTGTCCAGACCGAATTTACTACCGTTTAGTGGTACCTTCACAAATTCCACTTTAGGAAAAACGGTAGTTTCACAAATTTAATTTTAGGAAAAACGGTAGTTTCACAAAATACTTTTTCTTAAAATTTTATTTTTGTGAATTTTATTTTTTTATTTTCTCAAGAAATGATAAATCCATATCCTTGCCATATTTTTGTGCTGGATTTTTAAATATAATTTTACATTTTTCACAAATTATGTCTAAATTTTCACAAAATAGGTACCTCTCAGAAAAACCTAGACAGACCCCTGATATAAAAATCTAATGATGGTGTCGCAATTTTCCATTGTTGTTAGTGCATTTTTATTGGCCGGAAAATCACATGGTATTTTCCAGTTTTCCAACATTAATTTTCATATTAGTTTGGCTGTCATCAGCATAAAATGTAACATAATTCAACGTTACATTTTTAGATGAAGTTATTTAAATCAGTGCCTGATCTTCTTAACCATTTTAAGATTATTATTTTTTGGTGCAAATTACATTAATATGCTTTTATGAATTATGGTTAAGGAGCTTCATTAAATGATTTAGAACTCTTAGCTTCATAAACCAAGTGATGAATGCAAAAATTGTATTTAAAATATATCCATCTGTTTAGTAGGCAAAAATATTAAATTACAGTTGTGAACTTATCAAATTTGTTACAACAATATGCTTATAATTATAAATGTTACTTCAAAAAATGATTAATACCCACAAATAGATCTTAAAATAGTATCATAAGGAAAATATTTGGTAGTGGGAAGTGATGACACAAGTGTTCTTTTTAGGTACATATAATTTTAGTTGAATAATTTCAACTGCTTTATGTCAAGAAATAACAATTATTGCAAAGCAATCATCGTGGTTGGTGAGCGTCAGTGAACAGGGAGCTTACCCCTAGTAATTAAATAAAAAATAAGATGACACAACTTAAATTTACACATGAAGAAAAAGTTTTAACCAGTATATTTGTGATTATAATTCAAGGCAGGGTTGGAGTTTTTGCCGGCAAAAAGGGGCTTTTGCCAGGACAGTGGCAAAAACCTGGTAAAAACCGGCAAAAACCAAATTATCTAAATTGCTGATTAAATATTATTATAAAATACTTGAAACAAATTTAAATCAATCATAAGGAATAATAATTTTGATACATTACATGAAAATTTTTTTTTTTTACATATTAATAATTAATATAAAAGCAATAATTTTTAAAACATTGAAAGTTTTTGACCTCTTTTCATTTTAGAATCCTTAAAAAAATGTTTTTTTACAAATAAATAAATATTATTATTACTATATTAGAAAAAATTATTATTTGTACAATAATTAACTACATATCTTGATAGATATTTTATGCTTTAAATTATAGTTATATTAATTTAAAATAAGTTCATTTCACTGGAAAAAAGAGAATAATCGCAAATTTTCCAATCAATAATGTTTTAAACTACTAAAATGATATATTATTACATTATGATTTAATTATGGAATAATAATTTTGTTAATTTTTTTGTAATTATTTATATTTATAGTATATATTTTAATCTTAGGAATAATTTTGTACCAAAAATGTGTTTTTGTCCTCTCATCTTGGAAAATATAGGTTTTTGCCACTTTTTGTCAATTTGCTTGGCAAAAACCTGTCTTTGCCAGGACGGTTTTTACCGGTATTTACCATGGTTTTTTCCACTTGCGGCAAAATCTTGCCAACCCTGATTCAAGGTATAATTTTAAGTTTACGGTTACAAACAAGCTTTATAAAAAAAAAGTATTCATTTATGACCAATTTTTTTTCTTCTTCAAATTTCACATAAGAATTGCATAAATTGATATTTAAATACATACAACAAAAGGTCAGTAAATTTACCTTAATAAGTATTCTGAGTAAATAATATTTTATTGGTTAAACATATTTAAAATATACTAAAGAAATTCTTACAGTATCAGCTTGCCTTGCTTTCTTTTTCGAGGCTTTCTCTTCATCTTTAGCCAATTTCTTTAAAGCTTTCTTAGACAGTGTTGTTTTGGCCCTATAACCAATTATTAAATATTAAATGTTTTTTTAAATGAAAAAATTTATAAAAATTGATAACAGCCACGGGGGGAACATGTATTTAGAGTACTAAAAAGTATTTTTCAGTATTTAAAATAAATAAATAAATAAAATAGTTTAAAAAAAAGAAGAAAAAAAAGTTGGCAGAGATCTAAATTTTTTGGCATTATATAACTTAGTAAGTAAAATATTAGAAATGCAAAATTGCATAGAAACTTTTTGAAGCATACAAAAATATTAGAAAATAAAAATTATATTAATATTAAACAAACATCTGTGTTAATATAATTCGATTTCAGATATGAATATCTTTACTTGAAAACACAAATTAATGCAAGCAGGTCTAATTAACACAAAGTGTGCACCAGTTTATAAATTATACAATTAGCTTCTGTAAGATTTAAATCTGTTTAAAAATACAAAGAGAGAAAAATTATTTTTTACATATAACTTTTTTAGCAGAAAAAAATTACATTTTTAAGAGAAAAACCAACAAAGCTGTTAGTAAATGTAAAACTGAAAATCATTTATACAGTCTTCATAAAATTAAAATAAGTCTGAATAAATATAAAATTTCAGCAACACAAAAAAATTTTACTAGAGCCATTAATGAAATATTTATTACTTTTAATTATAAAATAATTATTACAGTCACCTTTTTTTGAGATATTTTCATATTGTGATCTGTTGCACCTACTAGAATTGTCAAGACGCCACATGGATTTTAAACTTGCAATTTCAGAAAAAAAAAAAAAAAATAGAGGCTTGCTGAGGGATGGCTAGCTCCTTCAAATTGCCAAAACTTAATGATTTTTCTTTACAGATCAAAATACAGTTTCTTAAATTTTTAAAAAAATAAAATTTTTGTAAAACTATTATCCCTATTATCTCAGAAAAATATGTAACCACAAAAGGCAAAATAGTCTATCAATGAAAAGCCTCGCACATTTGAGTATTCCTTTGATAGTTGGCTTGGTGAATAGACTTTTAATTGAATGAAGCGAAATTTAACAGACAAATAATAAAAGTTTAATAAATCTTCCTCTCCCATACCATATGAGTATAATACAAAAATATAAATAAAATAGTAAAAAACTTAATAAACTATAAGTTTCTAGAAGATAACCCAATCGTTTACACCTTTAAAAACCATTTGCTATATGATAATATTTCCCATTTATGGGGATTAAAATGCATAACAAACTTAAAATAAAATTTGATATATTACACATATAAAATATTTTATATAAGGTAAAGATTTTAATCAGTTTTAAAATTCTTACATGTGTCGTAGTTCCTTTCTTAAAAATAAAAAAAAAAATTTCTTCAAGAACAAGGGCTTAACCAAAATTTCAATCAAATCATACAGCAATAAAATTAATTTTTCCTACAACGAAAAGTATTTCCGATTTTAAATAAACGAGAAAAAAATTATGACATTGTAAAGAAAGAGGGAAGAAAGTGTTGCGGCAAAATTTCATCAGATTCAATTTTTCAAAAAGAGAGGGGGAAATAGTGATGACACTGTTGTGAAACTGCGGCAACAAACCGTGAGAATTCTCAAGATGTAAAAGAGATAAAACAAGACATCAAAGAGCAGCAAACAAATTACAACCAATAAATAATACTTTATATTGCATAAGGATTGAGTAAATTTTGCAGAGAGTTTAAGTAATTACTAACATAATGGATTAAAATAATCATTAGAAAAATTCAAATGAAAATTTGCTTGAGGAGTCCAATTTAACTTACTCAGTTTCATTAGCAGCCGCATCACCTGTGACACCCATAATGAAAATTTTATGTAAATAAGCAAAGAAATTAGTACTTTATTAATTAATCTTTTTTTTATTTTTTTTCAACAAGAAAAGTTATTTAAAACTGTTCCAAGAAAACCCACACGGCTGCCAGAAATAAATAAACAAATAAAATTTTAACAAGTACAGTTAAAGTTACAATTCCTTAATTGCAAGACAGAATATCTACTTCATATGAGCACAAAGCCATAAGCTTAATATTTTACTTTGCCCAATACTTATTGCATATTTCTGAATGCAATCGAACAACAAACAAAATCGGAAACATCTTGAAAATCATTTTCCTAAATATTAAACTCAAGAATCTACGGGAATAATTTCCCCAACAAACACTAATTAAGTTGTAATGAATTCTATTCTAAGAATAACTAGAAATATTCGAATGTGCATCATTCGTATATCTGAAGCAATTCGATATCAAGATCCTTTTTCACCAGGTTAGAAAAAAATCTATTGTATGTATGTTATTGAACTCTTAATGGCAAAGAAAAATTAACCAACATTCAATGTGGCGTATTACATGCTATAAATTATTAAATCAGTATTCTGTATTGTTTAGTTGAATTAACAACTTGCTTTTGCTTAGTGGTAGGAAGAAGTGCACTACAATTAGTGGAACTACTGTAGTCACTACTGTTTTTTCGTAGTTTGTAGTGTAGTGAGCTACTTTTAAAAAAACATAGTGTACTGAGTGGTGCGTTACAGAAAACAGTAGTTTGTAGCGATTCCTGGAAACTACTTTCGCTAGTTTAGTAAAGAAACACAGCTCCAACGTAACTAAGTTTTTGAATTTTATGGTTAAAAATTTTCGCAAAGGATGCAATTCAAATTACTATGTGGCTGCAGTTGAGCGTTAACAGGAATTACTTATTTAGAATAACGTGTAACTAATATATTTAAACTAGCCATTAAGAAAAATTGATAATTAATCGCTTTGGCCACACTTTCACGCATGAATGTACACTTGTGAAACATTCATATTGTTTAAAAGGAAGGGAATGCAGTTTTGATGTACTTAATTTCTTAGAGGAAATAAAGGAGCATTAAACAAATAAAAAACTTCAAGTATTTAATAATTTTGCATTTCTAATTATATTCGCTGTCGATAGGGGCATAAAAAGTTGAAGATCGAATGAACAAATTTGGAATAACATTCTTGCTCATGTAAATATGAATAAAAATTTCTTAATTATTTCCTTATTTAATAATTTAATTAATTCCTTTATTATTTCTCTCTGAAAAAGGCTTTTTGAGTTTTGTAAGGGTACTTACTTAACATCGTACATATTTATCAAAATGTGTAATATAATCTAATAACTGAATTTTATCCTCAACAATTTTTAAATTACCTTCTTATGCCGTTTTATGAATGTATTTCAAAAAGCAATTCTCTTTCATTATCAAAATATGAGAAAAATGTGTAGTTAATAAAAAAAAAGGCAATCTCTGTGATTTTTCTTTCTTTTTTACAAAAAAAAAGTAAACTTACAGAAAATGATTAATTGATAAATAGCTTGAAAGTCTTTTTCTCTATAATTTAAACTGAAAAGTATGAGAAAATAAACATTTAAGGGTGTATTTTTTTTTTTTTTAAAAAAGGTATTTATTTTAAAATTTTTTTTAAAATCACTTCAAAAATTTTTTTAAAATCCCCCTGCTTTAAAAAAAGATACTTAAAAAAGGAAAAGAAAAAAAAGAAATTTAACCAGTTGAAAATAATCATAACAAAGTATATATTTGTAATAGTAATCAGAATTAAACTTATAAGTGCCACAGATAATTTTACTTATGTGCAATTATTATTTGAACTGTAAATTAAATGTTCTCAAAATGGAATGAGAATAAAAAGGCACTGTTTTTAAATGATGGTGGCATATTTGTACAAATAGGGCACATTTATTGGAATCAAAGGGCAAACAGGGCAGCCCCCTCCCCTTAAAAAAACACTTTAGAGGGAACACTGATATAAGTTCATCTCCTTAACGTAGTGAAGTAGTTACTACAATTCCAAAGTAGTTTGTAATCCCTACATTTAAAAAAAGTTAGTTGTAATTAACTACAATTGTAACAAACTAGTTGTAGTGAACTACAAAAATAATGTAGTTTTTCAGTACACTGCTTTTGTATGTATGATCATTTCTTCATTAAACCTGTTCTATTTACCAAAATCTATCCAATTATAGCTAAGTAATCAAAATTATATTAATTTCTACTCTTTAAACTGTTTTAGAACTCTCGATCGCTGGAAACTTCAACCTTCCAAGCGTGTTGCCCGAGAATAAAACACAATCTACTCTAAGGGACATACTTCAAGATGGATTTTTATGGGCCGTTCCAAAACACCGACGTTCATTAGAGAGGAGGATGACAAGAAGAATGGGATTAGGAAAGCCTATAATACCCAAGAACAATCTTATTGTGTGTGAAGCATGTGGGCATTTTCATCCAGTTCACACTATATGTGGTAAGTATGGAAATGCTAAATATTGCTAGTATTTGCAAAGTTAATGTGAAATCCTTTTTATTTTAAACGTTTCTTTTAATTGTGTCCAATAAACTGTATACTTTATGAAATTAAAAACATAAAATGTTACATCTGTAACAGCTAGTTTTTAATTTGATAAAAGTAAATAGAAATTGGAGTCACCCTGAACTATTTTAACAAAAAATGTTAGAAATGCTTAACTTTAAAAAAAAAACAAAGATAAGTGTGCATAACCTTTTTCAAAACAGAGCTGCAAGAAAAAAATTGGCTACGGAGCCACAATGTATTCAGTTTTAGACCAATTGATTAGAAATAAATTTTTTCTTAATGAAAAAATAATCACTTTCTCTTAATTAAAAAGTAAAGTACAGCAAATTATACAGAATATTGCACTTTGCCTTATTAAAAATAAATTAATTACAGTAGGTTTTAAAACTTTTTGTAGGAAAATTAATATTCAAATTTTTACTGCATTATAATTACTTGTATCTTTCATTTTTAAATAATTCTTTTAACTAAATTAATTTGCTCAAAACCAGTTCTGGTTAAAAAGGAGAAAAAAAGATTCATAAAAAAAAATTAAAATGATTAAAAAGAGCCTGTTCCATTACTATTTTAAGCTGATATTGCCATTGATTTTATGGGCCTTGTACCCCTAAACTCAAAATTCAATTTAATTCATGTTCTAATGACAAATTTGAAATCTGGCTGTTAGAAAACAAAAATGTGTTAATTATTTTCTTCTTTTTAATATTGTATTGTTATTAACGATAGAAAAATTAAATAAAAGTATTTTTTGTTGAACTTCATTATAGTTGCTAACTATTTTGAATTATTTTATTCTTCTTTAAGTATAAATTAAGTAAAAATTGTCTGTGAGAAGTCGCCAATTATCGTATGATAATGCAGGGGTCTGTTTAGAAGAAATCTGGATCTGTTAACGGATCCTTCACAAAATATCTTTTCATAAATAGGACCCTTCACAAAATATTTTATCTTTTCATCGAACCCTTCTCAAATTTGTTTATCATTATTGTTTTGTTAATCGAATAGACCCTTCCTGGAGGTGGGGGGGGGGAGAGATAGAGATAGAGAAAGGCTGTTCCAGACAAACTAAGTTTCCCTAAGTTTAAATTCCAAATGTAGTATTCTACAAAATATTTCTACTTTTACAAACATTGTGTGCACATTCTTATTAATATTAAATCATATTTTTTTTTTTTTTGTAAATAAATAATTGATCGATTTATATTTATTTATAAAATTAATTAATAGAATATTATGTAAATAAAAAGTAATTTTTGGCAATTTTTTCAATAAAATATTATAAATTTAAGAATTGTTTAAGATTACTTAATGCGTAACACATTCAAAGTGATACATTTCTAAGTTGTGTTATTTAAAATATGTCAATTGAAATTATTGAAAATGAGGGTGATTTTGTTTCCATTATTCGTCCGAAATGAATATTCTGTGTTGAGCAGTAAAGGCTAAATACCAAATATTTGTATGTTTCATTTCTAATTTAGTAGCAGCAATTGTTAACCAGAATCTTGTATCTATTTACAATTAAGAAACTTACTGAAAAGGTTTTTAGCAATTTTTGCAATGACAGGACCCTATTTGCACAAATTCACAAAAGCAGGACCCTGGTTGAAAGAATGTGACTTAATGCTTGTTTTATATTCACAAATTATGAATAGTTTTTTCACAAAATGTCTGGACAGACCCCTATAATGGAACTATGTATTTATTAAAGTTTATGCTACATCTGTTACAATGGAATCGTCCAGAACTATATTAACTAAACAGAAATGGAGATATTATGGCATGCCTCTTTAACTTTTTCCCTGAAGACAAATATTGCAAATGGTCTTTTGTCCTAGTTTTAAGTAGAGGTTCACTTTTTCTTGTAATCTGTAGAAGAACGACATTAACAACTTTATATTTCTTACTACGAAATTATGTATTTCTTTTCAATTTTAAAATACTAAAACATTTTTTATGTTTTTAGGTAATTGTTATTCTAAGGTAAGAGAAGAAACCGAATACTTGCAAAATGCTGTGATAAATGAACTGAAATTAGATCCTATTGAGCAAGAAGTTAAACTGGTGTATGAAAATGATTCAAAAAATGAGAGGACTTTTGAAGGCAAGAGAATCATTGAATTACCTAAAGAACGACCACAATGGTTTTGTAATAATCTTTTAATGAAAGACAGTGAAATACCTAGAAAGAAAACTACTAGTATAAATGAAACTGTTATTACACCAAAAATAGAAGATGTTTAATAATTTTTAATGTTTATTTAAACTTTGTAGAAAATAAATAATTTTCTGAAAAGTGTCAGCAATTATTGACTATATACAAGGTAAATAATTATCTTTAAAAAAAAATCTCATTTCAGTTTTACCGATATTTACAGGTTGGTTATTTTCTTCTAAATTTAATATAAACACTTTCCATATAATTATAAACTGGTATGATTTTCAAATTAGCATAGTAATAATATTAATAGATCATAATGAATATAATAATCATGCAGAGTACATAACCAGATTTTTCAACAAAAAACTTTTTAAGCACTCAAAAAATATTTTTAACCAATTTCCAAGGAAAAAAAAATCATTAGGATCTGTGCAGTAATAAAAATTGTTTTTTTTTTTTTTTCTTATGGTTCAAAGTTCCTAATTTATAAACATAAAATCAATAAAATTCAAAAACATTTTCAAAAGCTTTACAAAATCATGATAAAATAACTAATTTCTGATAAATATTGCAAAGAAAATTGTGAAAATCATGCATTTAAAACGACAATCGACACAGTAGAGAAAAAATCTCTTATTAAAAAGATAGAAAATTAAGTGCTTTTTACAAACCCTGAATAAAAAAAAGCACCTTTAGGGGCTTTTAAAAAACGTAAAATAAAATAAGCACTTTTTTAAAAACGCTACACACCCTGTCATGAGGAAATAATTTTTAAAATAAAAGACTAAGATAATGATGAACTGTGTTATTTTAAGCAAAATAAATTGCTTCCAGGAATAATTTCAGACATTAAAATTCATTTGTGTTAACATTATTACACATGTTTTAGTTAAAAAAAATTAAAAGGTCTACTGACTTTAGAAGAAATAAAATTTAAAATGTCAAACAAAACGTATCCTTTTAAAAAAAAAAATTTCTGAGTGCATTTAGAATAGATATTGTAATGTTATATCTGTAAAATGAGAGGAGGGGTACTTTGTATAAATTTTATTTCTCTAGTAATTTGATATTAAAAACCATTATCATAATTTGCTTGAATAATGAAGCCTGTTTTCTTGCTATCCACTAAAAAATTTAAAATTTTATAAAGTTTTATTTTGTAATTATTTATGTAATTTTATAAACCCCTCTCCGTTTGTAATGATTTAGACTGTTTATCAATATGTGTTTTGATGATATCATTATGTGAGTGAGAACATTAATGGAATTTGTCCAACTTACAAAGCAGGAAATTTCCAATATAATTTCAGTTAATAGTTTACTTTTCATTTTTTATCTCTTGGCTCTTGATTTCAAATACTAAAAATGTACTAAACTATTACTGCGCCTGTAATAGTTTACCTTTTTAGCAATGAGAACTGACAGAAACTCAAGTGTTCTGCTATAAAATAAAAATTTTGCACTTACAAGGCAGGTAATTTTCAATATAATTTCAGTTACTAGTTTACTTTTTTGATTTTTATCTCTTTGTTTTAGATACTGAAACTAATACATATTAAACTGATATTGTACTTGTAATAGGATACCTTTTTAAGCATAAAAACTAACTGGAACTCAAATTTATGGTTCCAACCCTTACTTTTTCAGTATGTCAATTTTTTCACATCACTTGATTAAATAGTTGTAATATATTGGTTATTTCAATTAGTAAGATAAACATTAAGATGCTACAATGCAGTAGGGAGCAAAAAAAAAATTAGAAACTTTCAAAATACTTTAAATAAATAAAGATAGAATCAGATTTTAAAATGTATTTTAAGATATCTTAACTTTATACAACAGATAACTCAGTAGTAAGTACTTTCTCCTTAAGCATTAATAACCATTTGAAACTGTTTGGGCACAGATTCAACAAAAAACTGAGAGTGCCACAAGTTGTTTTGTGCCATACTTTTAACAAATCTTTAACTGTCTGCTTTCCTATTTTTTCATTACTCCCAATAAATTCTCTGTGAGATTGAGATCATAGGATGAAGCAGGCCACTTTTGAAATATTTATTTCATTATCATCAAGCCATTTTGTGATTTGTCTTGAAGTGGAAGGACTAGCATTGTTTTGATGAAACAGTTACTAGTTTCTACCATATGGTTAAAGTGTTTCAGTAGTGAGAAGAAACTTTTGCTAATTGTTCAGAGCTCTAATGATAATTTTTTGCGTTGAAATCGATACTCTACGCTTACAAAATGAGAAGTCCTTCCGATCCTGTTTTTTTTTAAGCCCTTTCATTTTATTTTAGACAAAACTATTAATTTTTATTTATTTATTTTTACTTTTTTGATGTTTAATTTATTTATTTATAGGAAAAATTTTATCTCTGCCATAATTTTTCACTATATGAGATTTTTAAAATGAAATATATTTTTAAACAAGAAAATGTTGATATCTATTGAGCAATTGCGTTCAGTAGTTAAGTTTCTTTTTTTATAACCGTCGTTGAACATCCGACCCAGTTTTGCAACTACTAATGTTCAACTCTGTAACCTTGTAATTTTGAACCCTATCCAGTAGACAAGGGAACTCCTGGATCAAGTATTGGGAGAAATATGCTTTCGTGGACGACTTTTTTTGATGGGGCTAACCCGTATTTGCGTTACATGGTGAAGAAGGCCACGAGAATCCCCCACAGTTAGCCTGACGGCAAGGGGACTCTAACCCATGATCTGTCTACCACTGAGGATATTTCATGTCAGCACTGTGGTCGGGGCAAGCCGGATGCGGAATTCGTATCGACTGGGATTCGAACCCGACTCTTAGTTAGGTTACTAGTAACATCTTTTATTTACAAAATAAAATGGTGACAAGAATCATTGAAAATGCAAAACTTTATAAGTTTACATTTTTTTAGCTTTGCACTGAACAATTGTATTAACCTAATTCAGGAATGGTGAACCGTGCATTAATTTCTTTTTCCTTTCAATTTTTTTGCCAAGCAAGTTCACATTTTTCATATAATTTGAGCATTATATATGTTTCACTAATTTTAATGTAAACTACATTTTTTACCCAGTGCCCTTGACTTATAGACTTATATTTCAGAAATTATTCAGAATAAAAATAAAATAATAATAACTAAAGAAAAAAATGGTTAACCGTAATATTAAGAATTCTCTAATTAAACTATTGCGAAAATAGTTATGTGCCTTACTGTAGAATAGACAAAATATGAATATAAGGACAATTTTTTTTCATGAAAGTATCAACAAAAACATTTAAAGTTTAGTAAAAAAAAATAATAAAATAGGAGAAATCACTTTTGTTAAACTGTTTTTACTTTTGTTAAATTGATTTTGTTTTAAACAATTTACTGCAAAGGATGAGATAGCATGCATTCACACTCATCACAATAATTAATGACATCGAATTTCATCTTTTTATTGATAATAAAATCTCATAAATAAATGAAATCAAGTAATATTCATTATTAATACACAAAATATTTACAAATAAATCTAGTTTATGGAATGGCTTGATTATAACAATATGACTCTGTTTAAAAATAATGAAAAGAATGTCATATGATTAATACATACAAAGATATATCATAAAATATTTTAATATATTGCATCACAAGATTTTGAATTGCCATCTGAAGAAATTAAAAGTGAAATACTTTGACAAACAATTTATTTTTATACACTATAAGTATGTACAAACGTTTATGGAAACAAATGACTGTCAACATATTACCTCAGTCAAGTTTTTCGACTAGAATTAAAAACATAAGTAAACACAATGAAAGAAAAACTTTTCAAATATGTGCAATATTATATTAAGAAAATTTTCAGGTACAAATCAATATAACGCGGCTTATTAAATGATACAAAGAAAAAAAAAAACATTTTAAAAGAATATCTTAGTTTATATGTTAAAAATCATAAATAAGTTTTTAAAGACTTATATAAACTTATTAATGGAACAATACATTAGATAAAAGTGATAATCTTGTCTAGTAAAAACCCAACAGATGAGTAATTCTATTTTGAAAAAAGAATAGGAATTTTTTTATTTTATAAAAATGCAATAACTTTCGAATTTAAATAAAAAGAACTTTAGCATCTATATATATATATATATATATATATATATATATATTTCAGACATTTTAAAATTGAATTAATGACAATAATATTTATTAATGAATTAGATTTGGTGCTTATTTATATTTATAATAAAATATATCTTTATAACAATTTAAATTAAGTTAAAAACTTATAGCCTAAATATTTTTATTAAATAGTGTATTATATTGGAGTGGAGAATTCTTTTAAAAATACTCATGTAACTGCAGCTTTTATTATTTAGTCACTGCGATAACATTGTTTAAAAAATTCTGAATTTGTAAAAATTATTATATATTTTTTTCTAAGATTATAATCTATAAATAAACATTTGGGCATGTTTGTATAGAATTTCTTTTTCAATGCTTATCTTTATTATGCAATAACAAGAGAGAAAACTGTTCTGTTATATATATATATTAACAGGAAAAACGAGCTATCATCAGAAAAAACAAGTCATCGAGACACTACAAACACTTAAGTGTTTAATAAAATTATAATTTTATTAGAGACAAGCATCTTTTGAAGAATTAAAAATATTCACAAAGTATTTAACAGTATTTAAATTAGTACAATTCATTTTAAATTGTGATACGATTCTATTTAAATTGTGATTTAATTACCATATTTAAAGTCATTTTAAATTGTTAGACTTTATTTGAATTTTTTCCAAATTATATATTTATTCTACCGATATGCAATTGTATTACAGATATAAAAAAAGTTATTGATAATTCTTTTTCTGTTTTGACATACATTTTTAAAGTGTAAAAGCAACGTTTAAATTATTTTTAAGAAATAGAGCATTTATATTATTCAAGCAATTCTTTAAAAAATCTTAGTTTCAAACATATATATATCCCTAATTACACCATTTTATAAATATTATTTCAAAATTATGTACATAAAATTAGCCATAAAAATGCAGGGAGACTGCAAGAAAAAAAAATTAAGTTGTGCTAAATCGTTAAGTTTAATTTACACATAATTTTTAAATGAAAAGGAAAGTTATAAAACTGAATTATATCTCACTTCCTTCTTAGCAGTTTTATTTAATTATTGCTGAATTATCTGGGGAAAAAATCGAGACCTTTTTATAGATTTAAAAGCTAGCAACATTTTTCTAAAATAAATTTTAAGTGCAATAAGCTAACATGTGATAAATATCTTATTTTCAAACACATTATAAAATTTAAAAATATCAAAATGCTTTTCTTTTGAAATTCAACCAATTTTAAAAGTTAAGGCATATAGTTCCAGTTAAACATTGTAATGAGAAACGACTTCTAAATCAAAACCATTAAAGATATTTTTAACCAGAAAAGGTTAAAAAAAAAACATTTACTCAATAACTATAAATAAATAGAATTAATAATAATAATTAAAAAAAACATAACAATAGATTGGCAGATCTCACTTCTCCATTTTAATACTAAAAGGTATGCTTCAAAGACACAGAGATTTAATTTTACTATTAAATATTTTGATATTTTATTAATGAACTTTGAAAATTATTGATCTAAGTTTCCTATTTATTAATCAATGTAACAGTTCTTCAAATTTTTTTCACCCATATAGATATATCTAATTCTCAAATTTCAGTTTTTTTTTATGTATTATTTTTTTTAATTAGAAATTTAAATAATATTTTTCATTTAAAATTTTGCAAAGATGACTGTAAAATTTCAAAGAAATATAAGTGCCCCTTTATTTCTTCATAATAAGGTAATAAAACAAAAGATTTAAGCTGCTTTCTTTTAAAAAAAAAACTTAAAAGGTTAGACAACTTTTTATTTCAAATTGCATTTATAAAATAAATCTGCCCACAATATTTTATTACCAGGACACACACAAAAAATTACATTAATAAAAAATTCAATCATAATGTCCATTTTTCTTCTTTTTATATCCATTTCAGGTGTAATCATATCCATTTCATGTCTTATTTTTTCGTTGTTATCATTCTTATACATTACAAATAATTAATATATTTAGTGATTTAAAAGAGAGACATTTCAAAACTGTATTTCTGATTAATTAAATTAAAACTTGATGCAATGCATATCAAATCCTGCCAAGTCTTCAAAATAAATTCTTAAAAATGTTTTCATTTTTAAGCGACCTGCTATTTTGTGACATTTATTCCATTTACCGTACGTGAAAAATCATCCTTGATATTCTAAAATCCACATGACATTTACACAAGGGACAGACTTGAAGGTACTTTTTCTCCCAGGTGATTTATGGCAAGAATCTATACATGAAGCACCTTTTATTATTATTATTATTATTAGATTACCCGACTGTTAGAAAAAGTTCTGGAAAATTATTGATATTTTGGCCTTGAAACTAGTACCTTTAAGATAACATGTAAATAATGTTTGCAAAATATATTAAATTGAGTTTTAAAGTTATAAAAAAAAAAATTTATGTTAAAAAACAGTGTTGTAGGTACAGAGGAGACTTATGGTTATACTCGCTATTGGTAAATCATATTTTTGTGGACTTGGCAGGGATAGATGCATAATGCTTCTAACTTACATAGTACAAATAAAGCTTCTTTCAAAATACAATAAATTTATACACAAAAAATTATGATAATTCTTGCAATATCACAATGAGAAAGGACTACTGGTAAATAAATACATCTAACGCACTAGTAAATATACAAATATAGAAAACAAAGAAATTGAGACTCCTTCATTTACAGCTATATTAATAAATTACACAAAGACAAATTAACAAGATTTCCTTTTTTGGAAGATTTCACAAAAACAAAACAAGCTCAAGGACACTTAATCATTATTCTTATGTACTGCTGTATCACACATTTATAATAAGCTATAATTTTTTTTTGTTTAATTTAGTCCATTCTTTATAAAAGGAAAGATTTGAAAAGACGACTCTACATCTACTAAAATACAACATTTAAAGAGCACATTCATGAATTAATCCGATAAGTTAAATCTGGAATGTCAAACAGGAGAAGGATATTGTCCATTTAAATTTTCAAGTTACACTGAATTTGTATTCGAGGTGATCTTCTGTAATTAAGCTGACTATTTTATTAGCACCCCATTGCAACCTAGCCATCCTTAAGGGGTTGTTTTTGGCAGCTTCATTCAAGAGAGGGGTGTTGTACGTGCGGATGCAACGTGTCTGAGCGTTTCCAAGTCCAAACAAGCCAGTTGCAGTCTAAAAATAGGGAATAAAAACATAGTGAAACAATAATTCACAGATGCAGTAGGTGACAAGGTTGGTAAAAATAATGATTTTATTTTAATAAACCAGGTTTATTTTTATATATTTACCAATCAAAGCTCTGATTAAATGTATTCAATAATGCTTAATATCATTTTATTCAACCTCAACATCTAAATGAATTGTTAAACCAGGAAGCTTATTTGTTAGTTAGATAATAGTTAATATTATTGTTTAACTATAACAAATTAATCATGGAATAAATAAAATCATAGTTTTTTTATTCAAGCTAAACACTCTCATGAATTAAAAAACTGGGAAGCCAATTTTTCAGTTAAATATCAAATAAAGAATCAATAAATTTACTTTTAGTAGAACATGTCTTTATCAATTAAATACATTTAGTACATATTTGAAATTTTTTAAAAGTACTAGGATTTAAATAAACATAGAACTAAATGTTTGTATAGTTGAAATATTTATCTGTTGATTGCAAAACATAAAATTAATGCAAAATATAAATCTTAAGGCACAATCATTTTGATTTACTACAGAAAGTTTATACAAACAAACAACATTTTTATTGCTAGAATCAAAACAAAGATGTAATATAGATTAGATTATGAATCATAATGTCTCAAGTAGCAAGTTTAGTATAATATTACTTTAACAATTTTGAATAGGCAAGCTACTTTATAATCTAACTATTAAACAAAAAATGGATTTTCCGATTTTAAATAAAATCTATTCTGATAGCATAAGATAGTAAATACATATTAAAAACAAAATTATATCTCTGTTTTTAACACAAACTAACTTAACAAACAAAAATATTTTATGTACTGCATAGAGAACTAAAAAATTTTTTCATCAAGAATTTAATTTATCTACAGAAAAAAAAGAATAAACAATTTGTAACCTACTCATTTAATAAGAATACAAAAAAATCAGTTTATATTAAATTATTAAAAAATGAAAAAAAATCAAATTTGTATTTATTGAATGATATTGGAAAAGAAGACAAAAGTGTAAATGAACAAATAATATTTACATAAATTGTAATTTGGATGTATAATATTTTCCCCCAAAGTATGGAAAATTTTGCTTTTCTTTATTAAAAAATTATTATACATAAAAATTTAGAAAAAGTAATTAATTTAATAATTTTAATTTAAAAGCAATCAGAGTGATGTGTGTCTTACCTGCCAAAAGCATAATTTATTTTCTTGATTAGAGTAAGATGCAAGATACTTTCCATCTGGTGAAAATGAACAGGCATTGATAGCTGCTGCATGAGCAGAAATATTCTGAAAGAATTTATCAATGTTTAACTATAGCATGAACAAAGAAAATTGATGACCGAAATAATAAGTTTACAATAAGTAAAATAAATAATATAAGTATTATAAATAATATAAGCTCAATAAATAATATAATTAAGTTTACTTGTTACATGATTTTGTTAAGGTTAGTGAATTTAAAAAACACAATTATGAAAAACAAGGTTTAACACAAAATACACTTTACTTGACACTTGGAAGCTCTTAATTCGTATATTGCTAACGATCCACTTTTTGCACCCACAGCAATACGTCTTGTTGAACTACAATATGTAACATTGTAAAATCTAGAAAGAATAAAAAGCAAATATTTTCTGAATAATGTAGAAAGTATCAAGTTGTTTGTGTTTTAACATTAATAATGAAATAATTTCAATCAATAACAGAAATAGGACAATCAATAATGGACCAATATCATTTTCTATGTAGGACGTTTATAGACTTATAATGTTGGGTAATTATTGGGATGTCTAGAGTTCTAATATTGGTCTCAAAATAGCTTTCAATAATGGATCAATATTGTTTTCTATCTAGGTCCCTTATAGGCTCATAATGTAGGGTAAATATTGGGGTGTCTATATTTTATAATAATGGTCCTAGATAGGAAAGAATCTTGTTCCACCAATATTGAAAGTCATTCTAGGACCAATATTTAAATCTAGACATCCCAATATTGGTCCCTCGATGCATGTTCTTATAGACCCCATATTAGCCAATTTTGAGTCCAACTGAGACCAATGTAAAATTGTTACAAGGGCAAGTTCTTTCCACAACTGTATACTGTAATATAAAATTGATACATAATAGGAAACTTACTTTTAGTTGTAAAATAAACAATTTAATTTTCAACATTCTTTTTTAATATATAAAACAATATGCTTAACAAATTACCTGCATATAGCTGGAAATGTTTCCTTTAACCCTCTTGCTTTTAACTGAGTATGATCAAGGCAGTGAATAACAATGTCCATTACCTAAATTAAAAAATAAAAATAATTAAGAATACAAGCATTGAGATTTAATTATAAGGAAATCTAATGCTATCTAACTGATTTTCAACCCTTAAATTATAATAGTGAAACAGGAAATTCACTTCAGTCCCAACATTAAACAACAGCTGCTTGCAAAATTTTGATGCAATGCTAGTAACAAAATGGATCGCAATCCATCTTGTTACAAACCAAAGAATACTGAGCTATGTTACTAAACCATGTTAACTATGATATCCCCAAAAAAAGTGCGCTGAAGCCCATTTTTTTTGAGTAACAGTTGGGTTTTTCCTTATACCTCATGTTCAGAGTGACGTGTATCCAATCAAAAGTCAGTCCTAACTTGTGCCTTCAATTCCATAGATAGCTCCACATTCAATTATTAAAATAGCACCACATTCAATTCTTAAAATGGCTCCACATTCAATTATAAAAATAGATCCATATTCAATTCTTCAAATGGTTCATATTGAATTTCATTATACATTCAATTTTATCATACATTGAACTTCATTATATATTCAAGGTTGTATCTTAAATCTATTAGTGGTAGCATGGTAAAGCTGTCAGCTATGAACTCTATGAGGCATGCAAAATCTTAAAACTCTAAATTGGTGTTTTCTGCTGAATCATAAAGTCAAAGGTTAGATTGGTTAATTTTAGAAAGATGAAGATATCGATTCAGAAGTTTTAATTTTGCCGCCTCAATAGATCAATATAAACTTCAGTTCTGTAGAAACAGCAGAAGATATGTTAAAATCCAAAAAGTTTGCAACGATAAACTTGTCAAAGAGTTAAAGCCTTTAAGTTCTACTGCAAAAATATCAACAAAATCTTTTTTCATTTTTAAGTTAAGCATTTTGTGTCAAATTTTCAAACTTTTGGTCATAGGAGTAGAAGAAATCAGTTCAAAGTTGTAAGATTTTGCATATCTCTTAATAGTGATAGTTGAAAATTTTTCTACACTAGAGCTAAAAGATTTACGATATTCCTACTTTTTCAGCCCTCCCTAACATATTCCTTTATCTTGTAAGAGCCAGTTCCACATTCATATTGTTTTCACCTAGCAATTTATTAATTACACCAATAAATTACAAACAATATCCTTTATCCGAATTCTATTCTGTGTTTACACCGATGACCTAAAATTCTCCTCCTGCGCCCAAGCAGAAACCATTATTATTTATTTGAGAAGTAAATAAAATCAAAATTATGTTCAGAAACAATGTTTTTTGCATAAGAAAATTTCAAACACATAAATTTATTCAATTTAATTTTTTTTTCTTCCTACAACATTTGAAAACAACATTTGAAATACCAACAAGTGTGAGTTTTAAGAAAAGTTTAAACACTTTAAAATACCAACTAAAATCTCAATTTAAAAAAAAGGCTTAGCGTACACAAAGAATAGCCTTTTACTGTTGTGAACAAAGCTTTAGGTATAGTTATTAATTTAAAAAAAATAATATTCCTGATTATAACAGCAAGATCACAATTAAATTTATATACATACTTGCTTGTCCCTCATTACTACATGAAAACTGTGGAATCAGATACAACTAGATAAAAACATTTAAAACACTGCTAATTACGATTTTGCTTTAAGTGTTATTTCATATTCTTATTCTGTTGTAAATTTTACTGAATAAAAACTGTTGAAACTTAAGAACCCATTCATTATGAAAAAATTTTTCTCAGTGAAAATAATATGACGATCTCAGGGGTAAAAAGTGATAACTCATATTTTATAATAATTTCACTTCTCTACTATAAGTAATGGATCTATCGAATAATATCAAAAAAGATATTTGATTCTGCTTAAATAGCAGAAGTTTCTGTCTAGAGATCGCAACACAATACTGATTAACTTTGATAATAGGCCACACATCTCATAATAGGCCACATATCTGCAACTACCAAAAAAAAAAAAAAAAATATGAAGGTTATTACTTTCATGCCCACAAGTCTTCATGTATTGGTGAAAGAGTTTATTATATTCAACTCAACATATTCCTACAGCAAAATCATAATTAAAACAAGAGCCATAATCTAAATTATAGGCAACAGAAATAGAGTGTAAATGTTTACAACTTGAAAGTTTATAAAATTATTCACCTCTACAAGAAGATCAGAAACATCGGTTTGCTTTTTGTCCATCAATATTTCAATAACACGTAATATCTCTGGCTTCGATCGATTTAGAACAGTCATGTGCATAGAAATGTTCAGTGTTTGAGCATTTTGAGCTAGAGTATTGTAGCGAGCCACCTCTTTTACAAGTGTGGTGATAAATGTTGCAGGTCGAGCAAGAGCAATCAATGAAAGAGCATGGCGAGCTGTTCTGCAGGAATCAGCAGCTGGGGTTAGAGGCAACCCATAAGACATACTGTGACAAACAAAAATAGGTACATATAACCTTTAATTAACACATTTCAGTTGCAACTGTATTTTCTTCATAGTTTAATAACATTAACAAGTAATTAAGTTTTTTTTTTAAATAATCTAAAGAACAGTGCACAAAATAAAATTTAAAAAAAAATGAAACAAAAAAACGGAGTACCCTGAATAACATTTGATGAACCTAACGTTCTAGGACTCTGTCTTAAGGGATTGAGGGGGTCACCTCAAATATGCTAGTAAATAAGTGCAGACGATATTTTAAGTTACAAAATCAGACACGCCTATTTTTTGATAGATTTGGATTTCTGACCCATAAAATATAGGGGGTAGCTTCAATCTGGGAAATATGGTCCCAATAGTTTAGTCATGAAAGCACTCCAAAATTTGGACCCCTGAATGTTAATTTTACTTCTTGCGCATCTCGCTATATGTCGAGAAGTATTTAAGCGAATTGAAAATTTTTTGCATGCAATTATAAAATTTTTTTGCCCAAAGGTAATAACCATGCAAAAAAATAAATTTTGGTAAATATTTATAATCTTTTTATTAATTTTTTGAATAATAGTTGAAAACACTTTGAATTTTAAGATTTAAAATTTTTTGCATTATTTTAAGGAACACATATTTCCATGACAAAATACAAATTTTGAGCAAAATCAGTTAAACAAAAAATAAATCGAATTTTAAATATCTGACTTTTTGAAATTCAATTTCTAAGGAACTTTTTAAACCGATTTTAGTCAAATTTCATATTTTGGTATTTAAAATTATATTCAGCAAAATTATAATCATATATATACAGCAAAAAATTTTATACATTACAATTCAAAATTTTGTCAACTATTATTAAATAAAATAAATATTAAATAAATATTTATTATAATAAATAGTTAATATTTATTAGTTAAAATAAATATTTACTAATAAATATTTAATGTTTACCACTTAAAAAGTTCTCGATATATAGTGAAATACGCAAAAAAGTAAAATTAACAAACTTTGAGAAGCTCTCCTGATCAAACTATTGGGACCATATTTCCCAGATTGTAGCTACTCCTTATATTTTGGAGATCAGAAATCCCAATCTCTGAAAAAAAGTATGTTTTTTCAAAGAAATGATGTTTTTATGTCTGATTTCGTAACTTAAAATATCGTCTGCACTTATTAATTAGCATATTTGAGGTCACAATCTTGAGCCATTCTGATAGAGTCCTAGATTGTGAAGATTCCATCATTAAATCAAAAGTTATTCAAGGTTGTCCGGTTTTTTTTCTTTCGCAAGCTGTACATCTATCACAGCTGGACACAAAAGTTCAATTCTATAAAATGTTGAAGTTGTGAGAAGTGGTAAAAAAGATATGCAAAGATACATTTGTTTTAAGTTGCAAATTAGAATGACAAATATTTATAAAACTATCAAAACATTTTTATCTTTTAAAATATTGATATGTGCAGTAATTTAAAACAAACTCAAAACCTGTATTTACAACTTTATTAAGTTCAACTCTTAAACTCATTCAAAACACAAAATTGTGTTTCAAACAATGAAGAAAGTTACTCAAGATGTAAAAAAATGTACTTAAATTTACTTAATATAAACTTAGTTTAGAATAAGAGATTTTGGTTAATGAAGTTTAAATAAGTTATGCCATAAATTAAGAAAATGTTCATTTTCTTAATAATCAATTATATGCAAATTTCAACTTACTCTTTAATACTTATAGCTTTAAAACTAGATTAAAAAGCATTAATGATCAAATGTATTACTAGAAATTTTTAGCACAAATAGGGATTTTATTCATGATTTCAATAAATTGGTAAAACTTAACACATCAAAAGATATTTATAACCAAATATGAGGCTTTGTATTATATAGAATTTTGTGTTACATAGATCATTTCACATATCATTAAATTTACCAACGATGTATTTAGCAATGTATCTTTAGAACAGATGAATAGTGAAGAAATTTCTAAATATAAATAATACTTTAAAATACAAAAAATGCGCCAGAAAGTAATTATTTTTTTGCAGAAAAAAAATTTAATTACTAAGAGCATTAGAAATAAAATCCAACAAATTTATCGGTTTTGGTTTATTTTAGAGGTGGTAAAGTTAAGGCGGCATACGCAATATTTCAATTTATAGAATTGTGCTATATAAATTTTTTACTGTTTTAATCTCTTCAGAAACAAAAAAATTACAAATTTTTATTTTATATAAAAAATTTATATGTTACATACATGTTAATAACTTAAGTATAAATTCATTTAACTTACTTTCAGAATTATAAAAAATAACTATACCTGGGAACTAGCTTATCAGAGTCGCAACATAACTCTAACAGGCCAAGTAGAATTTTGGAGACATCTAAATAAGGTTGCCATACAGTAAATCCTCGCCCAATCAAATCAATAGCTGCTCGTCTTAAAGCAGTATGTTGAGGAAAGGCAGCAGAAGGTGGAACTAACAAGAGAAATGCTAATGCCTGACCTGAAAATGACAAAAGCAAATAATTATTAAAAATTGATGCATGTTCTTTTGCCAATATTAAAAACCACATGTGTACGTACTAGTATATCGAGCAAGTGAGTAATTTGTGAGTCCAAACCCTTCGACAACACTGCGTCTTTTCTGATCATCTGGTGTGCTCTTTTTACTAGTTTCAATTTCATGACCATATTCTGCACCGATAACACCCAGTAAAACAATAGCAGTTGTTTGCTTCCTTTTACCTTCTGTGGCACTAGAAGGCCTTCTATGGCTTGTATCTAAATAATAGATATCAGTGAAATAATGACGATTACTTGTCATAAAAAATACAAATAGATATCAAACAGATATATATTTATTATACAGAAATTTAAGTATGTTTTACAAATATATGTACAGGAAAAAGTTTTTTCCTTTGAGGGAAAGACTTTATTAATTTATATTTTTGTTTTAAATAATGTTTCCAGAACCACCTCTTTCATTATAATAATAAAATAAAATATAAAAAACAACTAAATAGTTCCCACTTAAATTTTCTAAACGCTAAAAAAAAATAATGAATAATATTTAAGATAAAAATTTTAAAAACGTATTTAATTTCAAAAATTTTCAATTAGCCGATAAATTTTCCTTACAATAAAAAAATCACATTAAATTTCTGTTTATAGTGAGTTTTCAAAATACACACAGTTTTTTTTTATGTATCATTATACATAGTTTACCTTAATTATGTGTAACATTTATTATTAAGAAAAAAAAAATTATTTTTGTTTTAATTTTAAAATATGCAAGACTGGACTCTTAATTTAAATAAGACCACATAAAGTTATAATATTGACCAAATTACTATAATAAAATTTTTCCTCTTATTTTAAATCTGCAATGAGCTAAAGTAATATTTTTAGATGACTTGAATGATTATTATTAAACCATTTAAGTATTATTCACTTTTTTAGAGAATATTATTATAATTCCATAAAAGAACCAGAATTTCACTACAGTGTTTCTACAAAGTAATATTTAGACAAAATTTATGGTTGTATCATCACTGTACTTAAAAAGGTTTTTTAAGCTTTCTGGAAAAAAACTTTCATTTGAATTAATTATTTTTAAAAAAAAATATAAAATAAAGACTGAATAAAATATATTGCATTTATTCTGAATCAAATCAAAACCTTACAACAGGTAACAAAAGGATCTACATGGCCATATATGAGAAATATTAAATTGTTTAAAATTAATAAAATCTTGTTTTTGAATCATATTGTTTAATTATAGGAAAAACCGAGCAATTAAAATAGTTTGATAACTATTGCAAATAACAATTCTACTTAAACATTATGCATGGAATCGGAATGAAAAAAAAAATTGATGAATGCTCTAGGATGCATAATTCTCTATCAAGTGAAATATTTGTTTAGAAGGAGGAAACGAAAATAATTCTGAGTATCAGATTACACAGCTGCTTTTTCTTAAGGCAAGAGTTAGTTTAGTTTTAATTAAAAATCTTAATTTCAAATATAAATCTTCTATTATTTTGGAATTATTTGTTTTGTCTTTAAATAAATGGAATTTTTATAAATCCACATATTAACAGAGGGACAAAGAAGTAGGTACTTTTTTTACATCGCACAAGAGCTGCACAATCGGCTATTGGTGACTGTCTGAGAAACATCTCTTAAGATGATCCGAAGACATGTCATCACAATTTGTGAGTCCACTTCCTCAATTTAGACATAGATCCGAAGTGGAAGGAATTTTTTTTCCAGATCCCTGTACCCATGGTACTGCTTAGTGATTGACCACAAGACTTTTGATTCAACAGATTTTATGAGCATGTATATCGTATGCACTCGGTCTTAGAGGGGTCGAAGATCAAACCCAGACTCCTTCAGACCGAAATCCGATTCTCTAATCACTGAGCTATCACAGCTCTCAAGAAGTAGAGAAACAATCCATATCACAGATCATATTTTTCTCCACCTTTTCCCCTCTTTCCTCTAATTTATTTATTTATTTTGAGGCATCACTTGATATGTAAATTTATTTTAAATCACATAGACTTTAGCAATTTTTTAAAATTTAGAATGCTTTAAATTATTTATATTATTATAAATAGGGATCCAAAGGATCCAGAAGTCCTTGGCCCTTAGGACCTGTAGTTTTCAAAGTCTAGTAGAATCACTACTGTATACCACACTAAAAAAGCATTTTGAAAATTACAAATAAATATTTAATTATCAGGCATAATGTATAAGTACCTTCTAAGCTATGTTCTTCTGTTTCTTCGTCTTCAGAGAAATGTTCCTCATCTTTAGTATGATCTGCATGTTCATTATTGTTTGCATTGTTTGTGGATACATTTGTTGCAGGAGCAACAGAATTTGCATTATCAACACCATGAGGGTGTTGTTGTGGAGTATTAGCATTCTTTGGATAAGGCTCACCATAATTAGGTAAATATGGTGCCCATTCTTCAACCAACTTTTTACGACCTTTTGGTGATATGCGTCTTAATTCCGCCAGCAACAATGCTTGAGCAGCCTCTCTCACCTTAAGAAGAAAAATATTACATAATTGAACACTGAAAAGCAAAACAGAGAATAATAATAAAAGAATTCAGTAGATAAATACTGAAATAATTTGTTACTTTAAAAAGGAAAAAAATAGAGTATAGAAGACAAAATTAAAAGAAAAAATTAGTATAATTCAAAATAAAAGTTTCTCATGCCTTCTTTTACTGTGGCTAGTTTTGTACCAAAATTTTACTTCTTTTTATGGAAGAATTGTAAATGGCGAAATTGTAATTTTAAAAAGCAGTTACAGAAGAAATTAAATCCCCAAAAATTATATTTCTCTTTATTCCTTATTGTACTTTTTACTACATAAAGAAGTTCAGTAAACAAATTAAGAAAAGAATTCACAATTTTAAAAGCTATTAAAAATAATAACGCGCAAAGCAGAAGTGAATCCGAAAGGAATCGAAACAAGAGAAACATTGAAAAACAAATTTAATAAGTATGATAACCAAAGCTGATGTCTTTGTTAATTATAATTTCTAAAGCTCGATAGATGGCGCTCTGCGCAGCAATGTAAAATCAGTTAGTTTCTACACAGTTTTCCTCCATAACACTGTAACATCATCATCATCCTTCTTGTTATTAAATATATTTTATGTTAAAGGCGTTTTGTGTAATGAATGAAACCCCGAGATCTGAAAGATCATATCACCGTATACAAAAGTCTTTGAGGGGTACCAGCTCCGGAAGTCATAAAAGCAAAACCTTTTCTATCGAGAGAGCACGACAAAAGCCTACAATTGCTCTCTCTGTACTCCAAAGGTTTTGCCAAAGTCCACGGAAAAGAATATATTACATAATATATTATGCTGGTACCCCCTGAAGACGTCAGCTTTGGTTGTCATATTTATCCAATTTTTGACCAACATTGACTGCTTTCATTGCTTGTATTTTCTTAAAAAAAAATTTACAAATGTTTCGGTAAAAAAAACAAAATTTCATGGTTCTATAATCATTTTTAAGGGGCTAGTAAAAATGAAAAGTTGTCAAGGACAGAAAATATATAAACAATTTAGAATTTATTGCAAACAATTGTTTGCAATTCAAAAAAGTTTTACCTCTAGACACCTATCTTGCCATCTCCTAGCAAGCATCTCCACTTGAGGGGTTTTGTATTTCTCTGATTTCACTAAATCTGGCAAGAGAACGCAGTGAAGAGCAGCCAGCAAACTCCAACCCTGTTTAATTGCAGCCTGCTGACTGCTAAATGCACCTGCTTCAGCTGCCATCATTGCTTGCACAACATCTTCCTTTCTATTGGTATCAGGAAGTGAACTGGGTGTACCAGGTTGAGAATGAGCTGAAAATGTACCTGGTGACGTTGGTTGGGAATTCACAGCTTTACTATCAGCACGACTGAGTCTCCTGCGTAAAAAATAGAAATTTAGAATAATATTACCTATATTTTGTTTATGTTAGTCTAATACAAAACTTACATTTTCATAGCAAAATAAAGTTTTCCAAAAAACATATATAATGGTTGACAGTGGAATTCAAATAAGATTAAATTTATTAAAATAATTTGCTTTTATTTATACAGATGATTTGTTTATCTTGTAAGCGTATAAGTCTGCCCACAGAACTCTGAGGTTGAATGCAGTTCTATACAGAGTGCTTACTAAAACCCATATCCACCTTCTTAACTATAGAAACGGCGGCAGTCATACTTTTTAAACTGTTGTCTGGATATAATAAAGAGGTTAGGCATTCTGACTTCAGACCATTTACAAAGCCATCTGGTAGAAGACTGCAGAAATTTTAAATGAATGGTTATAATATTTCATATAACTTTACTCAGAAATATTTATTGATCATCTTAAGAGTCACAAAAAGGAAATTAAAAATTTTAGAAATGGTATCAGTTCACCTGTGAAGCTTTCTTCTTCTTTCTTGTTCAGGAATGAATGTGGCACTATTCATAGACATTAGAGTGTTTGCCAAAGCAATAATGGCTAACAAATGAGTGGTGGTCATGGCTGTCGACAGCTCCCAGTGTCCTCGAGAGGAAAACACCCGTGCTCTTTCTTCTTCTAAAAGCAACTCTGGTGGTATAGCTGGGGCCACTAATCTGACATGCTTCCCTTCCCTAAAAAAAATTTATTTTTAAATATGTTACCCAAACGCCTTTGTTTCACATTTCTATGTCTTGCCCCTTATAAGAACAATATTATATTTATACAACAAAAAAATATCACTCATATATTTTCAGAAATTATATTTTGTTTTTATCTTTAATAAAAAATAAATTGAACATTAACACTTAAAATATAATAGCAACGATCAATATATAATTTAAATTTAATTATATTGAAAAGATGCTTAAGGCACTGTAAAACTAACACAACACAGAACTATTTATAATAAATTTTATACATACAGCCTACACTCTTTAGTTTGAATTCCATTGCCATGTTCTTTCCATTATAACGACTGATACATAAGGTCCTGTTTGCTATTCCACAGGCAAAATGTTATTTTAATATATATTAGAATCTTTACATTGAGCCATTCAATCCAATATAATGGCCGAAATTAAGTCATTTGATTTCGAAAAAAATGTAAAGAAATTATTTAAACCCTTATTATTTTTTATGTACCCAATAAATGTAAAACAATTTGAATCCCCTTCGTGTGAAGGACTAAGGACATGATCTCCTAAATTCCTATCCTAAATCCTAAGTGGTACTAATTAATGGTCATTCATAATCAGTGAAACTTCCTTTCAAAGGATATAATAAATAAACCGCTCATACTTTTCTTGTTTGTAAATTGTATTCACTTATTGTGAGATGTCAGTTTCCTGTTTTAGAGTTAAAACATGTGGTTTCTGCAGTTATCTTCATGTATGATGTTTATCAAAAATAGTAGCCTTAAAACAGCATATTATTTTTAATGCATTTTTCACCAATTAAGTTTTGTTCTAAAAGATACTTTTATATGTATATTAAGTTAGAACAAAAGTTGCCTTTTCTGTGAGTTACCAAACTCTTATTAAAGTAAAACATTGCTTTGTTAAAAAATTAGACAAGTATTTTTTGTGATTTAATATTTAAGATTTTTTGTGCACACACAATATAATATTATAATGTCTGCTAATAATATAATGTCAAGAGTAAGCTATTAGAGTGAGTGTTGATTGTATGTTTTTCCATTTATGTTACTTTAAAAACACTCTAGGTTTAAAAACATTCTATGGTCAGCAGTAAGAAAAGAACATTACTCTATTCTGCTATTCTCTTATTTAGAAAGATAGACCACGAGACTCAAGATTTTACTTATCATTTTTTATTTTCGAATGGCAGGCACTGAGCTTTAATTTTTACTTATATTATTAGCAATTTTAACATGGGAAGAAAAAGAGGGAGATCATACAAATAAATAAATTTCATAAACTAACGTTAAAGTTTTAATGATAAATTCTGCTTCGCAAACTAGAATGACTAATTTTCAAGATTTTATAGGAATTCAGTATACATCTCATTTGAAGAATACTGGCAAAGGAAGATTAAAACAGGTACAATAAGAAATGATCATAATACGTAACTCATTGTGCACACGAATTCATGAGGTTAAATTGAAATTTTTAAATATTTCATATAATACATAGTTAGCAAATACAAGCTGCTTTTAAAATAAAAATAATCAGAATGAAATAGATTTCAATGGGTCATGAGTACAGTAATTAATAGCTATAACAGATTTTTAAAAAGAAAATATGATACATAAAACCCACTTTCCAATGACATTTTTAGTCAGAAGAATGTTTTGTGAGCTGCGGTGGCTCAGGGAATAGAGCGATATCTTTAGTGGTAGATGAATCATGGGTTAGAGTCCCATCAGGCCAATCATGGGAGATTTTTGTGGTTTTTCTCTCTATGAAATGCAAATGCGGGTTAGTTTCCTCAAAAAGTCCTACACAAAGGCAAACTTCTTCCAATACTTGATCCAGGAGTTCCCTTGTCTTCTGGATTGGATTACAAATTACAAAGCTATAGATTTGAACATTGGTAATCATAAACTCAAAATTCTGTTGGCTGATCAACAATGGTTATAGAATAAAATAAAAATCAGAAGACTGTATAATAAAACTGATAATGTTTTTCGAACTTACATTGGTGGTGGAGGTTTCTTTTGAACTCCACTTTGTAAAGTGTGAAGGTAAGTTGGCAAAATCAAAGCCATATGGCCGCCACGAGACAACAGACCAAAACAAACAGGCCTCATTGGTCTCAACAATCCTAGCTTGTTCTCGCAGACTCTATCCAGTTCAGAATCCAATCCCCAAGCATGAAGAAGAGACAACAACAGTTGAGCAATTTCCATAGTTAGGTTTGTTTCCGCTAGATTCATTTGACGTGTTTTCTTTCCATCACTGCCGTTGCTTTCACCAGAATCCTGAAAGAGCAAAAACTAAACACTTAGCAAATTGCTTTTGAATATATTAGCAGTATAGTTAAAACAATTAACTAAAATTAGTTCACACAAAAAATATTGAAAAATGCTTGAAGCATACTAATATAAAAACTGCAATAAAATATACAAAAATTAGTGCTGACCAAATTTATATAATAATATTTTGAAGCTCTAAAATAAAATTTAATTATAATTTTTTTCTACATTGTATAAAATTTTTGATAGTTTTTCTAACTAACATTATAAACAGACTTTTTTTCTTGTTGTTTCATACAAAATCAAAAATATGTTTTAACACTTAATGAAATTTATGCTAAGACTCTTAATTTTTAAAGATTAAAATAAAATGTTGCACTCATATTGTTTTTTAAGACAATATAATCTTAATAAATAAAATAAATGTATAATTTTAATATAATCTTGAATCAATCTCAGTTATTTAAATTTATTAACATGTCATTAAAAACGAACTAGTAATTGCATCCCTACTAATGCTATAGACATAAATAAAACTTTTTTATAATTCTCTATTGATATATTTTGCTTTGGCTATATTGATACAATATTAGAAAGCACCCCTTTTTGCGGATATAATTGTATGAACTGATTAAAAGATTATATCTTTTATTTTCTGGCCTTTTATAATTTTTTTCTTCCTTTTTTCTGAGTTTTTTTTGAATTTTTTAAACTTTTATTATTATTATTTTTCTTTTTCCCTTTCTTCACTGTTCTGTAATTTTTTTCTCTACATTTTGAACTTATTTTATGAGTTCTATTTACTTGCAGCTTATGCTCAGTAAATAAAANGCTATATTGATACAATATTAGAAAGCACTCCTTTTAGCGGATATAATCGTGTGAGCTTATTAAAAGATTATATCTTTAATTTTCAAGATTTTTATTAATTTTGTTTCCTATTTTTCAAAGTTTTTTAAATTTTTTTAACTTTTATTATTATTATTTTTCCTTTTTCATTGTTCTGTAATTTTTTTCATATTTTCTCTACATTTTGAACTTATTTTATGAGTTCTATTTACTTGCAGCTTATGCGCAGTAAATAAAACTTATTGTTTTTCTTAATTTTCTTCATTTATTTATTTTTATTATGCTATATATATAGCTAGAGTGGAAGAAAATAAAGAAAGCTGATCAAAAAGAAATTAAAACAGAAAGAAATATACCTTTCTGCGAATAGTAATTTCTCCTGAAGTGGTTTTGAATCCAACACTTTCAGCTTTGGCTTGAATTTTTTGGGCAGCATTTTCAGCTGTATCTTTTACTTTTGCTAAAAGTCCTGTGAAAAAAAATAGCATGGATAAAACTGATGTTTTTACATTTTGAATAAACCTAAACCCCCCGATAAATAAATTGCAGGTAACATAATTAAAAATACATAAATTACATTTAATTAGCCACTAAGCTAACCATGGTAGAATCTCATATTTTTCCTCTAAAATACTACTAATGAGAGTTAATTAAAAAAACTTTTCACAAAAGAATCAGGTTCTTAGCTTTTAACATTGGGTTCAGGTTTAAAATAAAACAGTTGAAGAATATATAGAAATCATATATATTACACAAAATCTAAATTTTTACAATACTAACTGAATAAACTTCAACAATTAAATAGTTTACCAGAAAATTTTTTCTGAGTCTCTGGAGACGTTGAAAGAGCTAAATATTTTTGCTGTTCAGAAGGGTTAATTAGACCTTGGACTTCTAATTGCCCAGGTGAAAGGGATGCATACTCTTCACTTAGAAGTTGAACTATTAAAAAAAGAAATATGCATTTCAATTAAATATACATATATATATATATATTGAATAAATATAGTGCCAAATTTATTGAAAATGACCATTGACTTGAAAAATCAATTAAAGAAAAGGGAAAAAAATAAGTAAATATGTTTTGCTAGATTCTGCAGAAAATTTCCTTTTTCCAAGTTTTAGAATTATTTTTAAAATTCATTAATGATTGCAGAGCTAATTAAGAAAAGTTTAAAAACAATGTTTTAAAAATAATCATTACTTCGACAACACTGAGGTTGTTAAACTTTAAACGAAATTTTTTTTGGTGTGAATAAATAACTGGTTACTTAAGCAAAAAGAGGCAAAGCATGCATTTCTATCACTTTCCACTTTCTTTCACGTATTTTTCAAATCATTAATCATTTTTGGTATGTTCTATACAACTCAACACATACCAACTAAAGCTTCAATATCAAAAAACAGGACATGACTATCTTGGTCTTTAGGATTGGTCTTTAGGCCTTGAATCATGAGAGGCTGGGCTCTAGAACGCTGCATTTCGGTTCCATCGATTGCACTTTGGGGGGAAGGATGAGCTTGTGGGTGATGGAGTTGATTCAATCCTCTTTGAGTGGCATGGCGTATCGCTGCTAAATTCCGATGCCTTAAACCACGTAGGAAATGAATCGCTGGATTAGTCATTCGATCGCCAGAGCTGACAATATTTTCATCACAAGCACTTAAGATTTCTTCTGCAGGAAGACCTTGTACATATCTGTCCAGGTGACCTGCAACAGTGTTTAAAGAGTTTATGAAGACAAAAAATTAAAAAGGGAATAAAAAATATTATTAGTAAGAATGCTGAGGTGAAAAAAAAAGCAGTTTTATAGGTGGGATGAATCTTGGAGCATGATCAAACAATTAGATTAAAATACACTATGATAAAGAATTTAAGGGAGCTTTTAGTTTGAATTTATTACATTCTTTCTTGTCTCTGACAGATTAGATTAAATGAGGAAGTACTACATCATAAATAGCCTTTATTGCTCGGTTAAGGCACTGAACTGTCATTGTGATAGACAAGGGTTTGATCCCCAGTGGTTGCTTGATACCCACTTAGTTTCAGATCGATGAGTACCAGCTTGTTGTTGTAAAAAGAGCTTGTGTGCAGTGCTGACCACATAGCCATGACATTGGTCATGGAACTGTTGAGCCTTAACATCTGTGACCCCTAGCCCTCAAAGGGATTACAGCAGGATTGCTTGCCTTCACTTTGAAAATAATAAATTAGATAATTATAATATTATGTAATAACAAATCATTCTTACAACAGCTAGTTTGCAGGCAAGACGGTCATGTGGTTAATGTTCCACTATTTTTAGATCAACGGTATGCTCTTGACAATGTGGTCAGCATTCTGTGTAGACCTCTTTTATTTCTCTGACAAGTTAGTACCTATACGTCTAAAGCAAGGTGGACTTTGAGAAACCACAAAGAATATTAAAAAACAAAAAGTAAACATTTAAAAAAAAATACCTGTTTCCATTTGCCAAACATAAACTGATCCATCTGCACAACCAACGATCATGAAATCATCTAATGGTCGGAATTTAATCACTTGGATCGGAAAAAGATGCCTACTGGCTAACATGATGCATTTCTTGTCTTTCAGTGCCAGCAGAGAAACAGAATGGTCACTTGCTACAGAGCAAATAGAGTGTAGAACTCGATTCTGTGAAATAATATTCAAAATAACAAACTTCAAACTTATGGTTAAGAGTAAATAGATATATTTCTAAAATTATTAAATTAGTCAGCAAAATTAAAATATGAATGAATGAAAATTTTTATTTAAAAAAAAGGCTTTAAAATAGTAAATAAATAACAATAAATTATTAATTCATGTATTTGATGACTTTCTGTAAAATCATATGCTTAAAATTATTACATATTCCTGTTTTATTTTTATACACGATTTAATGCTTCATAATTTTTTAACCAGAAATGACTCTTAACAAGGGCATTTGATCAGGAACATTTAACATTAATAACAGTATAATAATTTTTTTTTCTTTTTACTGAAATCAAAAGAAAAATAGACAGTTGCATTTTGTACCCAAAAAACATGCATTATTTATAAATTAAGATGATTACTAAGACAATAAACTTGAAATCAAGTATAGAAAGTTTCTTTTACGTGCTCTATCTGTATCATAGTTGAAACTATAATTGTTTTTTTTTTATTATTAAATTTTGAATTCAGTTGTTGATTGAAAACTGAAATCTATGCACTTTTTTAATCCTTCAAATCCAAGGATAAATTAAGGTCAAGCTTCAATTGTTAAATTTATAGCTGAAACCAGAAAAAATGCTTATTACTAAACTGAAAATGCATATTACTACCCTTTAAAAATAATGCAAATAATTTAAATACACAAGAAATATATTATTTTTAAGATAATATTAATATAAAGCTTTTTAGTTCAGAAAATTATTTGCTTATTTTAAATGAAAATACACTAGTGGACAAAATTAGGAGATGGAAAACATTTTCGCACATGTAAGATACCTGCACACCGCTCCATGTGTTTGACAATGGTTCCGTGAATACCCAGAGGTACAGGCAGGAGGTCCTAGAGCGTCTTTTCAGGGGCGCTGTTGGCCCTGAGTTCATTTTTATGGATGACAATGCGCGACCACATAGGGCTCTCATGGTTGATGAGTATCTGGAAAGCGAGGATATTCAACGAATGGATTGGCCAGCCAAATCCCCTGACCTGAATCCTAGTGAACATGTTGGTGTGTCGATTTTTTT